TGTTGTATCGTCTAAATTTGTGTATGAACGCTCCTGTATCATAGTAGATTGCTGGGTGATTGCCATCTGGAATTTCAATTCTTCGTCCTCTATTAAGTTCTGTTTTTGTATTGGAGCTCTGCTGCCACAACCCACCACTGAAATACAAACAAATGTTTTGCATACTGGGAGGAGCTCGTGGTTAGCGCGTTCGTCTGCGATCGATAATTTTTGGCCACCCATCCAATGACCGATCATTGGATCATTGGATGGGTGGCCAAAAATCTTCTATCTCGAGTTCCTCCGTGATTCGGAACGCACGATTTCGCATTCGGAACGCAAGATTTTTGGACACCCATCCAATGTCCGATCATTGGATCATTGGATGGGTGGCCAAAAATCTTCTATCTCGAGTTTCTCCGTGATTCGGAACGCACGTTAAGGCGTTGGTCCCGGCTGCATCTGCAATCGTTAGCACCCGCCAATCTGCCGAGGCAAATTTCTCAATCCACAATCATAGACAGGGAAGCCTGTCCAGTAACAATATTACATACAACTACATCTACTCCACAAGTTTATTTATCAGCTATTTTGCTTAATAAGTTTTCTGCTAGCTATACCCAATTATAACATATAAATAAAGTAGGACTTCAGAAGTATCTCTGAAGTAATTTTTAGCTTGACGACTCAGTATATAACAATACAGGGAGAAAAACACAGAGTTTCTTGCAAGTTCTTCTCAGTATAAGATCTCCCGTCATAATTTTGCGAACCGATGGCTTAGCTTCTCGACCTTCTCAAGTGCTTGTAACAGCCTAGACCGAATAAATGATTTTAGATTTTGAGGAAAGTATTTTGAAAATTGGCTAAATCTTATTGACTATTTTAATATTTAATAATAAGCATTTCAAAACTATTTAAATGTCACTTTACCTGGGCACTTTACTGAGCTTTTCATTTTTAACAGATTCATAATAGATTCTTTCTCGTAAATATGTCCACAGACTGTATTTTTCACTGGATCTACAATGGCTCTTTTTGAGATTGGATCAATCTGTAAGTATGACATCAGATTAAGATATATAATATTATGAAAAATCTCTACAACAATACAATAAAAATATAAACATACATATGCATTTTGTGATTCCGTGATTGCCAACTCTGAATCTTCTAAATTATCTGAAAAACAACATTATTCATTCATTTGTACAATTAGGGATAATTTTTAATAAACAACATCCCTATGTTGTTTATTAAAAGAAAACAAGACAGATATGTTAACAGATATTAATTTTCTTAAAATAAGTCAACTCAATCCGATCTTGAGTAGTCCTTTTTTCTTTCAGTTTTTTAGCTACAAGATCAAGAATAATCTCAGCCTGAGAATGCAATAGCACTTGTTATAATATCAACAGTGGAAAGGCAAAATCGCTTAAACACCAACTTGGTTGAAAATGAGTTATGTCATTTTAATCAGATTTTTTTTCTGCATCACAATCTTTTTAAGTTTCATGAAGATTTGAATACTGTTTTGGTGCTTAAGCAAATAATTTTTTTATTGTTCACAACACTGAAGTGACATAAATTTTGGTGTTTTTTAAAACGATGGCACTTACACCCTAGTATTTGACATATGATTTGATGTTTGCTTGACTAAAATGTATGGCGGGCCTAGTGATTTTTGCTTAAGCAACATGTAATTCCTAATAGCACTATGTAACTTTTTAATAGTTAGAATATATTATTTTATAAATACGTTTTTATATTTATGGTACTACTTCTCATGTACAATGATTATTTTGTGAAAAAAAAACTGATCCTCGTTTCCTTAAAGTTACTAGTGGCGTTTAAGTGATATTGCCTTCCACTGTCGATATAATTTTTAAACTTACGCCTAGCCTGCTGCTGTCCTTTTTGTACCCTTTTATTTAGCTCGATCATATAAGGATGATTTTGAACATTAAGCCTCTTGCCAGCCAAGCTGGCTAGATTTGTTTTAAATCTCTCCTCCAACGTATCAAGATTTGAATTATCCGTTTCCCTCTAAAAATTAAAAATGGATTTTTTTACCGCCTTCAAGCTACACAAAACAAAATTTAAATTCAGATAAATTTTCTTACTTTTGTCTTTTCCAATGCTTGTATAGCGACGTCTTGTTGAGCCTCTAAAAGACAATAGCCTTCTACATAAGATTTTAGTTTGTCGAATTCTGCTTCTTTCTCATCATCTAAATATTTTGATACGTTGTCTGTACACAAATAGAGACTGGTGATACACTGTTTCCTCAAGTCTGCTAGGTCGGAGTCAGACATTTTTAATAAGATCCTGATATAACGAATATGTTTACAGGCCAAAAATTAGTAATTTTGATGATTTATTAGAAGGAAAGTAACAAATAATAAATTAGCAAAGCAAACAGAAAGAAATCGCGGGTCGGTAATGTCAATGTCACTGTGACAATGACGATTCTTTTTTTTATAATTCTCCTGTATTAGAAGACCAAGAATACAAATTTCATACCGCTTTTACATAGAACATGAGTGTGTAACGCACTTTAATGTCCCTTGGAGGGATTGGCATGATGTGAATTGATTCAGCTTTCACAATAGGCTCCTTTACGCTAGTTAAAAGTTCTCACATCCAGTTGAACGAAATAACTTATCAAGCTTTTTTACTTACAGTGGTATCGATTCTGGCACGATTCTCTATAACTAAACTTAAATTTGACAACAGTGTATCCTTGTCATTCTCTATACAGAATGAAAAGGAGAGACTAATATTAAATTTAGTTTTAAGTTTAGAGAATCACGCCAGAATCGACATCAGTGTCATGCATTCCATTGTTTTTTTTCGAGATTTAGGCGCGATAGTTTTTCATTTATATTTTCTAGCTAATTCCTTAAGTTTCTATGGGGAAGTCAGCAATATTACACAAAAAAGTTTTCACTTAACGGTTAGAAGATTCCACTCAAAGTTCACTATCGTAGAAACCGTAAGGAATGTCAAATGTGTACAGTACCCTTAGCACAAACCATTATCGAATTCGAATAGTTGCCGAGTGCGAAATGTCATTGTCAAATTTTGTATGAAAACTTGAACATTAGCGCCTTAACGTACGTAACGAGAACTAAGAACTAGTACACATTTGACAATGACATTTCGGACTCGCAAAATATTCGAGTTCGATATTGGTTCGTGCTAAGGGTACTGTAGGTAAGATTCACAAATCAAAAATAGTTTTGTTACTGTTGATTATCCTAACAGGCATTATTTATATGCCGTAACATTTCTTTCGCCAGAACTTCATTATCTCTTCTGTATCTTTGTCGAGGTTATTATAAATAAAATGACATTTCTCCAAAAAATATTTTTATTAAATATCTTTGTTTTCCTAAAACGTAATATTGGTGTCGATTCTGGCGTGTTTATCTAAACTTAAAACTAAATTTAATATCAATCTTACCTTTTCATTCCGTATAGAGAATGACAAGGGTACGCTCTTGTCAAATTTAAGTTTAGGTTTAGAGAATCGTGTCAGAAAGTTTATACACTATTGTGAAATTAAGGTCATCGCTCATTAGTGTGCTCACTCCAGATCGCCTCACTCACAAGCATATAACACGCGGGCACATAGGCCCAAACACGAACTTTGACAGATGCATAATCATGTCATCGTCATATTTTGTATTACGAAGCCAGTTTGTTCTTACGTCCGGTAGGGGCGCTGCTTAGTTTTCACAGAAACTAACGCGATACGATTACGGAGCTGTAAGAGTTCATGCTTGGGCCTCAAATTACAGAGATTATGTTTATGTATTTAGAAGCGCGAGTCGATAACTCGGTAACAAACAACCCACTGCTTGCAAAAGTTTTGCGTTTTTTTCAGGTTTAGTGAACAAAATATATTAAGTGACCTCTAACGAGTTTTCAACTCCTGAGTACGAGTATTTCCAAATGAAAAACTCAGTTTTCTAAACATTAATAAATGGATTTTTATTTATGATTTCTATTTCTAAATTTGTGCCTGGTCGAACAGACTTGTGAAGGATGACAATACGAGGATATACCAACGCTACAACCACATTGTGGAGACAGTTCGTTCAAATATTTTTTCCAATGTCGAGGCGCTTCTAAGTCAGGTGCCGCATGGCTGTAATGAGGCATGACCTTTTATCTATTAAAAATGCTCTACGTATTTTTTTCTTTATTATTTATTTTCGAATAAATAGTAATTATAAACTTCATTAAACTAACATAACTAACATACAAATAAAATTTAATATAGTGTGATTACTCTGTTTTCCTGTTGATCTTTAGGGCAAGTGCACATTGAGCCGCTAAGCTACCAGTGGCTTAGTGGCAACTACTCGATTTCTCTCGATTCGGGGCTGCGTCAATTTATTTATTTATTAATTTTTACACCTTAACTTACACAATCACACTTATAAGTAACAATTCTCAGCATAGTGCAAAAACAATTACTGGCAAACTCAACATGAACAACAACACGAAAACATTTAAATAGGTATAAAAAGTATTCCACTGCCACTATAAAGAAACACTAAGTAAAGAATATTTAATACAATAGGGGTGATGACGGGGTACAGTAAACGAAATTCTATTAAGTCCGTCAGTTAGATGATCAAAAAATAATGGACACGTATTTTTTCTTTGGGCAATCAACCAAAAAATGACAAAGTTATAGCGCGTCAAAGTTTGGGAGTAGGAGCTCGTGACGTCACTTTGAGTGTATTTTCACTTATAAGTGTACTCAAACGTCACGTCATGCGACTTTTTTAATCAATATATCTCTGCAATGTTTATATTATGTGAAAAAAGAAAAATACGTGTCCAACACTTTTTGATAATCTACCTGATATACGAAGAAAAAAAATAGTCATCATCCCTATTCTTATATTCGTCTATTCGCCTGCAACAAGTCATGTTAAGTGGCTTGGCTACCACTGGTGGTCGCGTTTATTGGCTCAATGTGCTCTTGCTCTCATGGTTGAGATTTTTTAAACAGTAACGCCCACGTGACCCAAGGCAGTGGATAAATGTTTCAGTTGTGCTCGCATATCGGCCGGTGATAACCCGCGACGGGCGCCAATCACTTTGAACGCGTTCAAGTATTCCAGCTCGGAGAACTGGGCGCCTTTCTCGCGGACCGATGATATTATCTCCTGTGGATAGGAGGTTTAATGAAGTAGTTTTATAGTCGCATGAAGAACAGTGTCTAGGTTAACGAGGCCGATTCTAATATGTATATTATTATCTTAAATTGAATTAGACAACTGTGTGAAAATATTTATATACTATACAGAATGAAATAAATGGCAGATGTTTGTGTGATGAATACAAGCATTTGTACTTCAGTCATTGATGTTAAATATGTATTTCTTTATAAATAGTTATATATGTATCAGTATATGTATTCTATCCGTTACCTTAGTATCCCACATACTTTGGGGCTCATTGGTGTGTGTTGGAAATATTATTATTATTAAAAAGGAAAGTCTTTAGTTGTTAGTCCTTTTTAAAATTAAATATAAGTTAGAGCGAGCGCATGCCGCAGCGTGGCCAGTGTGTGTGTGTGTGTGTGTGTGCGGGTATATATAGACTCACGCCGGGCTCGCAGGCCAGCAGGTGCAGGTAGGCGTGGGCGCGGTGCAGCCCGTCGTGCGGCAGCTGCAGCGCGGCGAGCGCATGCCGCAGTGTGGCCAGTGTGTGTGTGTGTGTGTGTGTGCGGGTATATATAGACTCACGCCGGGCTCGCAGGCCAGCAGGTGCAGGTAGGCGTGGGCGCGGTGCAGCCCGTCGTGCGGCAGCTGCAGCGCGGCGAGCGCATGCCGCAGTGTGGCCAGTGTGTGTGTGTGTGTGTGTGTGCGGGTATATATAGACTCACGCCGGGCTCGCAGGCCAGCAGGTGCAGGTAGGCGTGGGCGCGGTGCAGCCCGTCGTGCGGCAGCTGCAGCGCGGCGAGCGCATGCCGCAGTGTGGCCAGTGTGTGTGTGTGTGTGTGTGTGCGGGTATATATAGACTCACGCCGGGCTCGCAGGCCAGCAGGTGCAGGTAGGCGTGGGCGCGGTGCAGCCCGTCGTGCGGCAGCTGCAGCGCGGCGAGCGCATGCCGCAGCGTGGCCAGTGTGTGTGTGTGTGTGTGTGTGTGTGCGGGTATATATAGACTCACGCCGGGCTCGCAGGCCAGCAGGTGCAGGTAGGCGTGGGCGCGGTGCAGCCCGTCGTGCGGCAGCTGCAGCGCGGCGAGCGCATGCCGCAGCGTGGCCAGTGTGTGTGTGTGTGTGTGTGTGTGTGTGCGGGTATATATAGACTCACGCCGGGCTCGCAGGCCAGCAGGTGCAGGTAGGCGTGGGCGCGGTGCAGCCCGTCGTGCGGCAGCTGCAGCGCGGCGAGCGCATGCCGCAGCGTGGCCAGTGTGTGTGTGTGTGTGTGTGTGTGTGCGGGTATATATAGACTCACGCCGGGCTCGCAGGCCAGCAGGTGCAGGTAGGCGTGGGCGCGGTGCAGCCCGTCGTGCGGCAGCTGCAGCGCGGCGAGCGCATGCCGCAGCGTGGCCAGTGTGTGTGTGTGTGTGTGTGTGTGTGCGGGTATATATAGACTCACGCCGGGCTCGCAGGCCAGCAGGTGCAGGTAGGCGTGGGCGCGGTGCAGCCCGTCGTGCGGCAGCTGCAGCGCGGCGAGCGCATGCCGCAGCGTGGCCAGTGTGTGTGTGTGTGTGTGTGTGTGTGCGGGTATATATAGACTCACGCCGGGCTCGCAGGCCAGCAGGTGCAGGTAGGCGTGGGCGCGGTGCAGCCCGTCGTGCGGCAGCTGCAGCGCGGCGAGCGCATGCCGCAGCGTGGCCAGTGTGTGTGTGTGTGTGTGTGTGTGTGTGTGTGTGTGTGTGTGTGTGTGTGTGTGTGTGTGTGTGTGTGTGTGTGTGTGTGTGTGTGTGTGTGTGTGTGTGTGTGTGTGTGTGTGTGCGGGTATATATAGACTCACGCCGGGCTCGCAGGCCAGCAGGTGCAGGTAGGCGTGGGCGCGGTGCAGCCCGTCGTGCGGCAGCTGCAGCGCGGCGAGCGCATGCCGCAGCGTGGCCAGTGTGTGTGTGTGTGTGTGTGTGTGTGCGGGTATATATAGACTCACGCCGGGCTCGCAGGCCAGCAGGTGCAGGTAGGCGTGGGCGCGGTGCAGCCCGTCGTGCGGCAGCTGCAGCGCGGCGAGCGCATGCCGCAGCGTGGCCAGTGTGTGTGTGTGTGTGTGTGTGTGTGTGTGTGTGTGTGTGTGTGTGTGTGTGTGTGTGTGTGTGTGTGTGTGTGTGTGCGGGTATATATAGACTCACGCCGGGCTCGCAGGCCAGCAGGTGCAGGTAGGCGTGGGCGCGGTGCAGCCCGTCGTGCGGCAGCTGCAGCGCGGCGAGCGCATGCCGCAGCGTGGCGAGGCGCGCAGTGGCGCTCGAAGTGTGCGCGGCGCTTACTTCACCGCCTTGCCAGCGCCATACTACGCCCGCAGACATCATCTCGCCGAGGCCACCGAATACGTACTAAAACCGTCGTAATAATTCCATGTTTATAAATCGCAAATATCTTTAATATCTTCGCTTTCTGCCCAATTTTATAACTTGGTACAAATTATTTGAAAAAACATCTAAAATTATACTTTTAAATACTCACTTATCAAAATCTCAATAAATTACATAGAAATTGACGAAAATCTGAGTTCAAAGATTTAAAAAGCAATAAATCTGCGTATAAAGAAACCTTTTCACTTACACGCTGCGTATAAAGAAAAGTTATGACACGAAGTTTTTTTAATTAAATAATCAACGGAATGATCAATGTCTACAATCATCTGTTAATAATATGAAATTGTTTTCTAAAAGTTGTCGAATACCCTATTAGCAATTTTAAATACATTTTGAATTATTCAAATTTGCAGATCTATCATCTCTTTAAAACTTTCATCTGTACAATTCAATAAACCGCACAATATGCTGCTAAGATGGATTGAGTCATATGTCAGAAATCGTAGTCAAGCTGTTGCACTCAAGGGTTACCGATCGAGATTCTTAAATATTCCCTCAGGAATTCCTCAAGGGTCCCACCTGGGACCATTTTTATTTTGTCTTTATGTCAACGATATCAGCCGTTGCTTTACTAGCTCTCAGTTTCTCATGTACGCTGACGATACAAAATTTTATAAAATAGTGCGAAATTCTGATGATTGTGAAAGTTTACAGAAAGATTTGAACAATTTTGAACGTTTTTGTAAAAATAATTACATGCTCTTGTACTTAGATAAGTGTTATGTAATAACCTTTACTCGTAAAAATAATGCTATCCAGTAAAATTACAGAATCTCTGATCAAAGTATAATCCGCACGAATTCTATTCGCGATTTAGGAGTAACTCTGGATTCCAAGTTACACTTTAATTTGCATATTGACAGTATGGTAGCCAAGGCGTTTAAGCAATTGGGGCTAATCCTACGACTAGGAAAGCCTTTCGCCAGGGGCAGTACTCTTAAGATACTTTATAACGCATACGTTCGGAGTATATTGGTAGCGTGGTCTGGAGTCCTCAGTATGCCGTGCACAAGGATAGAACAGAGCGTGTACAACGCAAATTCATAAAATCATTAGATTATCGTGTCGGATTTTATCATAATGATTATGAAGAGAGGGCAGAAAGACATGAAGTGCAGTCATTGGTCTGTAGACGCCAGTATTTGGATGCCATGTTTCTGTACAAGATAATTAACAATCACATAGACTCAGCTCAACTTGTGCAGAGTATTGTACTCAAAGTTCCTCGTTTCTCCTCACGTTCAAAAGATACCTTTTATGTTTCGAGTTGCCATATCAACTATGCCAGAGAAACCTTTTTAGACGGACATGTAATTTTTACAATAAGAACTTAAATGAAGCAGATATTTTCAGTGAATCACTTTACAGCTTCAAAAGGAAAGTAAGTGAATTATTGTTTAAATAGTTAACATGTGCGGCGGCGATGTATATAATATGTAGTTATAGTTATCAGTTACTTTTATGCCGCTTGAATATAACAATTATATGTATATCAATTAATGGTACTTTAGGTCTATTTGTAAACATAAATTGTAAAATTGTTTGTATAAGACTGTTTGTTACCTGAATTAAATAAAGAAATAAAAAATAAACAATATAATTATAATTATTTCACATTTTGTATGTTGCAACATTGCATTTTTAATTTGGTGTGTCGAATCTAGAACACGTCGCATTAGTCTACGTTACAGCTGCGACTCATAAACACGATACACTATTTCATTAGTCAAATAAGTTTCGTGTGCCAATAAAACTTATTTTACTTATTTATTTATTTCAAGTAACAAAGACTCATATTATACGTAATACATTAATTAACTATTTATTATTATTGATTTATTAAATTAAAATTATTTCTGAACAGTCACTAATAATCTAAATTGAATTGCAACATTTAAAATACATATGTCAATAAAATTAAATAAAACTTATAAAACTAAAGAAACATAACACAATGTCATTAATCTGCTCTGCCAAAGTGTGCAATGTGCAGTCTACAGCAGTGGTTAATATATGGGCAGTCAGCCTGTCTCCTAGCACATCCAGCATGCTATTGGCACTCCCACGCACTCGCCGCACCAACGAAGCGCCCCGCTTGCGCATTATAGCATAAAAACAATCTGTGCGAGCTTCCGCAAACATTGTCGAGGCGCTACAAAAACTTGGGAACTGAACTCGAATCAGGCTGGTAAGAAAGGTATTTGTGTAAAATCTATGATTTTTCCTTGTACACATCCCGAAACACTATCTTCAATTGAACTTTTTAAACTACTTTTCAAGTGCAAACCACCTGAACACTAAATAAAGAAAAGAAAAACAATTTCAATACTCACCGCGGTAGCATTGGGCGCCAACATGGCGGCCCGCCTTCTTCAGTACCTTCGACGCGTTCCTCCTGTCCTAAGTAGTAGAAACAATTTCAATACTCACCGCGGTAGCATTGGGCGCCAACATGGCGGCCCGCCTTCTTCTGAGCCCTCAGCACATTCCTCCTGCCCTAAGCAGTAGCAACAATATCAATACTCACCGCGTTAGCATTGGGCGCCAATATGGCGGCCCGCCTTCTTCAGAGCCCTCAGCATATTCCTCCTGCCCTAAGCAGTAGCAACAATGTCAATACTCACCGCGGTAGCATTGGGCGCAAACAAGGCGGCCCGCCTTCTTCAGAGCCCTCAGCACATTCCTCCTGCCCTAAGCAGTAGCAACAATATCAATACCCACCGCGTTAGCATTGGGCGCCAATATGGCGGCCCGCCTTCTTCAGTACCTTCGACGCGTTCCTCCTGTCCTAAGTAGTAGCAACAATGTCAATACTCACCGCGGTAGCATTGGGCGCCAATATGGCGGCCCGCCTTCTTCAGAGCCCTCAGCACATTCCTCCTGCCCTAAGCAGTAGCAACAATATCAATACTCACCGCAGTAGCATTGGGCGCCAACATGGCGGCCCGCCTTCTTCAGAGCCCTCAGCACATTCCTCCTGCCCTAAGCAGTAGCAACAACGTCAATACTCACCGCGGTAGCATTGGGCGCCAACATGGCGGCCCGCCTTCTTCAGAGCCCTCAGCACATTCCTCCTGCCCTAAGCAGTAGCAACAACGTCAATACTCACCGCGGTAGCATTGGGCGCCAATATGGCGGCCCGCCTTCTTCAGAGCCATCAGGACATTCCCTTGCCCTAAGCAGTAGCAACAATGTCAATACTCACCGCGGTAGCATTGGGCGCCAATATAGCCGCAGCATGTTCATGGAAGGCAAGTAAAGCGTGCGCTAATCTTGCGGCGCCACCAGCTTCCGGCCCGCCTTCTTCAGTGCCTTCCGCACGTTCTTCTTGCCCCAGGTAATAGAAACACTCGATGCGGAGCTAACGAACAAAAATATTCAATCATACAGTAGCCAACATCCATCGAATTATAAGTTATATGGAAGCATTAGTAAGCTCTGTAACAAGGGCCGCGTTAAAACATGGATCCAAACTCATACATCGAAACTTCAATACTAACGCGACACGCACACAGACAAAATGAATACTTTCACAAATAAAATATCAGCAAACGATTTCTGGTATCCATTCATTACCATTGAGTAAGGTAATGTTAAACGGAAATCAAAACCAATCCCATGATTGGCGTGTTGATCGCAGTTTTTTCACCCCGCCCACTTGATCGTACTTTTTCCTGGCACGACTTTTGTATTTCATATTATTTCTAATTCGTTGTAACATCATAATATTTTTTATTATATCAGCGATGGAGAAATGTATATGGAAAGATATGGAGGAGACTTATGTCCAAAAGCGACGACGTAAAAGGCTATTAAGATATAATGATACTTAGTTAATAAAACTAAATCAATTCTTATCAAGTCTTTTATAATTTTCTTAACCAGACTTTTGACACCTCTATAATCGTATCTTCATCATCAAATTTTGTATGAAAGAAGCCAGTTTGTTCTTAGGTCCGGTAGGGGCGCTGCTTAGATTCCATAGAAAATTTGACGATGCGATAAGATTACGGAGCTATCAAAATTCATGCTTGGCCCACTGCATCGAAAGAACTTTACTCAATTTAAAAGTAAAAAAGATTTTAGTCTAAACGGTCAATTAATTTAGATTTCCGAAAAGGTTTTGTAAAGCGCAAATCGAAGCGCAGATTCATCAATTCACCGATGGAATATATTCCCATAACTCGTGTCATTAAAGAAAGGAATCTGAAAATGCCGACGCAACACATTTTGTCCCACTCGCACGTCACTTAGTGTACGAGACGACCGCCTTACGACCGAAGCGAGAAGAAATAAAGTTACATCGAAACAAGATTGATTTATAAAATGTATCTATAATTTCACATGTATCGGTTTTATGTACATTAAAAATATTATTCCCTTGTTGTCTTATTAGAATGAGTCGGATATCGCAATAATAGATAACTTTGTTCATAGTAAACGATTGTAAAATTAATAGTTCAGAGCGATATTCCGTCTCTTTCTCACCAATAATCTTATAAGAATTTGTCTAATCAATCGCAGCGACGCCAAGCGGCGGCGCAGGAAAAAAAAACTAGAATATTGATAGTTCGGACCTATAGGAGGGAAAGAGACGATAGGCTGTCCTTTTCTAACATCTTATAAGATTTTGCCTGAGTTGATAGTTTTCGATAATAGTATGTTTTTATGTTTCGATTGATTTGTTTTATATCTTATTAGGAAATAGGTAGTTATAAGAGTAATATATCAAAGTTTTGTGTAGATCGTATTGATAGTTTAGGCATAGTTAAGGAAAATATTGAATATAGTTTTTTATGAATAATTGATAGGATATAGGTATAATTGTAATGATAATGATGTTATTTGTGTGTATTTTTACTTTCTTTATAAAATGATATATGATAGTTAGGTGTAGAGTAAATGTAAGTAGGTTTTTTAAGACTTTTAAATTTGTAATCTTTATAGGGCCGTAGAGCTGTTGTTTTTTAATATTCTTACTAGAAACTTATTGCATTAGGTAGATAACGCATAGAACTACATAAATAAATAGGCATCACGTCAATAAATGTAGAAATATACCGTGTAGGAGTAAAAATCTGTTTGTATAGAACGGTTTCCTAAGACATGTTGCGCTCCCCACCCGGCGCGCTCGGAGCGCGTGGGTGGGGCAGCGAAGCCCTGTGGCAGGGCGAAGCCCTATGGAGGGGGAAAGTATAAATATCGCGGAGACCTGTTTTTTGCGCGCCACACCTAAAATATCATGCTTACGGACACATAACTGTCTTAAAAATATGCCTATTCGTATGCCCAATGTATGTACACATAGTTTTAAGCTTGCACTCATGTAATTTTTGTAAGAATGAAAAAAAAAGTATAGCGGGGGTGGGGTAATGGATCGCTGGCCAGCTCAGTCCTAACATATAAAAATCGAGTCGGAACAGGCTCCGACATGCATTCAGCGACAGGCGCTCCTAGAGAAACAGCAAGCGGTTTACTCTGGAACTGAAGCCTCCTCTCACCGGCCATCCATTACCAGCGCCCACCGATTTCTTCAATACCGAACACCAGGGGTTTTATTCGCCGAAACTACAGTCCACTACAGTCAAGACTCCTGCGTGTAACTTCCTCCACCCCGCAGTACGAGTTGGTAACTGTCCGCTACTGCGACAGCCCGGCGTCCCGTACACTTAGGATAGCATGTGCGAGAAGGACAGAATGTCTTACGTCATCATTTGCGATTCCTTTCTTTAATGACACGAGTTATACTTGACTTGATTTAGAATTAAAAGCTTTAAAAATACAATCTTACTTCCAAATGCAGGAACAAGAGGCACTTGTGCGATATCTCTTCGAATATCATTGCGGCGGAGTTGATGTCGTTGACAAACTTGTCGGTCAGCCTGATGCCGCCGCCGGTGGTGGAAGTTCCGCTTACAATTGACGGGATCGTCTTTATGTTTGTGCTTAGCCAGTCCTAGAAAATACAAAACAGGAAATGTATTTATTTATGAGTGTCCAAATGGCAGACTTAATGCAATTAGGCATTCTCTACCAGTCAACTTATTATACTAAATATCTTAATAAGGTAGTGCAACAAGAATTCAGTAAATTATTTATTATAATTAAAGTATATCTATAGAAACAAGATAATATATATATATAATACATAAAATACAGATCTACATAAATAATAATAAATATTTACATATATAGGCACATACAAATCTATATCATATCAGGAGGATGCAGAGGAGGAATCTAATAAATGATGACGTACGAAGCGTTTAAAAGCTAGTTTATTCGGAGCATCTTGAATATGAGGAGGTAGTGCGTTTCAGTGTCGTATAGCTTGAAGAGAAAATGAGTTGGAAACAAAACCATTATGGTGAGATGGAATAGCTAGAGTTTGTTTGCTGCTAGAATAGTATTTATTAACATTTATTGTTTCATGCTGCAATCGATTTTAAAACCTTGAATCCAATAGGCTAGTTGACCCTTTTTGGAAAAAGGTTTTAAATGGTTAATAAATGTTCTATTAGACCGAAAAAAAATGTATTGTATTTTTTTGAGAAGCTACAAATCTTTAATTTTAAAATAGAATTTTCATGGACATACAAAAACGCTGTCGGCCATTTTAATCTATAGATTGTCTATGCTATGATGTCAACTGTAGTAAACAAAAAACTCGTAAGCACGTAGAAAATAACTTATCTGAGTTTATAATAAAAAGAACATGATTTCTAATAAATACCACGAAAAATAAAGTAATTATCATTATTGTATTGTACGAGACTATAAAAACACATCCTTGAAGACTCCAGGAATGTTGTGGATTAAAGTGCCGAAAGAAATTAACCTAAATCGGGGTTTAGTGCAAAAAATTCACCAATCATCAATGCGTCAATTCTTGGCAGATTTGTGCTTTCTGCTTTCACAAAGCCGGCATCCATAATTAGTTTTGTCAAAAAAAACAGTAAACGGAAACTTTTCTAAAGTTAAAAGTGTTTTAAGATAAATTTATTCAGACTAAAGAATCCACCCATAACAACACGCGAATGACATTTAGTTGTTTACTGAAAGAGACGTCACAATCGTGGTGGATGTATTTTTTTAAATTAAATTTCTACAGCAATCTTCTGCTTTTATGAAGTGAAATCGATATATTTAGGTTCCTTAGACCAAATACTGTAAGAAATAAACATTTATTTAATACAATTCGACATGAGTCAACTAGCCTATTGCCGTAAAATTTAAAACCAGGGTGAATTTTGACAGTTTTGTATAATTCTCAAGAGTATTAACTGATATAAAGTGATATTAGAGATATATTAATATTCTAGTTCTAAACTACTTCAAAAATGTGTATTTAACCTTGTTTTTATTTTCTTGTGAAATCCAATTAAAACTAGGAGAAAAATACTGGAAGATAATTCGAGAGCGCGACAACGAATAATAACCGAATGGAAATGGGACTGAGTAATTAGTAATAAATGAATGGGCAGATCAAATGAGGTAAATATAACCTCATTTGATCTATTAGATTGACTGTTTATAAACAAAAATTTATAATATTTTTTTAAGCGTGTACTGCTAGAAGTTTAAATCTAAAGAAAATTTTACTAGAAAAAGAACCACGTGGACCAGGCACTTTTTTTGCACAAATATGTATTTCTTGATAAAACAGTACAAAATGACATACTAACCATAGTTTCACAGAGCATAGCCAAGTCAGCGAGCACGTTTACGTCGGCGACAATTTCCCTTCTAGTGACCGCGCCGTCGCCTAAGCTGGAACCCAGGATTTCAGCCTCACGCTCGTAAGCTTGTTTCAGTTCCTGTATTTGCAGATTTCATTTTATAAGTTTCATAGCCTATAATTGACAATTCAATTCAATTTATTTGCATTAAATAGGGTACAAAATAATGGTGTTACATTTCATCTAAATTGTATCTTAACGTATTTAGTCATAAAACAGACAATTATGTATTCTACTAAGCCTTAAAATCGATAGCAACTTTAAAAATTGGTAGTTCGTTATTATTATTGTAAATGTTCATAGGCCCAAGCACAAAGTGATGCACGCATTAAATGATGAATAGCGTTTGAAAGGCTAGAATTTAACTGTTAAGTAAAACTGGGTAAATAAATACGAGAGAGTCGAAGCGATCGTACGGGAAATATCTATCTTTGTAAAGAGTTGTAAATTATACGAGAGTGTCGCTCAGTCCATTCTCTGTCTGTAGCGGCAATCTTCTTGTGCAAAACAGCAAGCAAATTAATTTGCGCAGTAGACGTTTTTGCATGTAAAATTGCTACTGCATACTAAGGCTTCCTTGTCTATGGTCGCTGCCCAATAAGTTTTCCGGGATGTACCGTAAGTGAGGGTTACTTTAGCTCGAGCGGGTAACTTTGTCCCAAATCAGAAAAAATATTGAACTTGCCGCCCCATCAGTATCTCTTGGGTGACCGTTATAGTTCCAGTTGAAAATCACAGATAGCCATATAGGCGCGTAGTGTGGTGTTGTTTTACCGACATCGTTCCTGTATGAAGTTGTCATTGTAACGCGGGATTTTTTGTAACTGAAATAGTTCGCAAGTTCATGCGCAAACTTTCTCGAAACTGTGGTTTTCGGTAAGTTTACAATTTTTTCTTTAACTTAATTATTTTTGGGTAAAAACATCCATTTGTGTATACAGTATGCTAATGGTGATCTGTAATAAGGGTTACTTAACCCGAACGTGGTTTAAAATGAGTTTTTATCACAGAGAAAACTCAACGAGCTAAAGTAACCCTCTTTAAGGCCAACTTTGGCTCAAAATAAAAAAAATATTTATGAACTTTTAAATATTAATTTTTCCTATTTTCGTATGATAATGGAAAGATATAAACGTGACATATTCATCACAAAGAGAAGCTACAATTTAATTTAAAAAAAAGTGCACATTTTAGGTCAAAGTAACCCGCAGTTACTCGGTATATTCTGGTGATCTGCCGGACGTCATAATATAGCGTGCCTATCAGTACAATCATATTAACGACCACAACTGTACATGAGTTGGCGTGAGCTCACTGAAGACGCACCAGTGAGGGTGTCAAATTTACGACACCAGTTAGCACCGCTAACTTAGTTAGGGGTCGCTGAGGGCGCGCCAGTTGGGCAGCGACTGCAGGAAGCGCACGATGTCGTCGTCAGCCAGCCAGCGGGTCGCGTCATATATAGCGCGGCTGGCAGTACGAGCACAGACACGGCTCACCTGCGCGGGAGTGGGCGCGGGGTCGCTGAGGGCGCGCCAGTTGGGCAGCGACTGCAGGAAGCGCACGATGTCGTCGTCAGCCAGCCAGCGGGTCGCGTCATATATAGCGCGGCTGGCAGTACGAGCACAGACACGGCTCACCTGCGCGGGAGTGGGCGCGGGGTCGCTGAGGGCGCGCCAGTTGGGCAGCGACTGCAGGAAGCGCACGATGTCGTCGTCAGCCAGCCAGCGGGTCGCGTCATATATAGCGCGGCTGGCAGTACGAGCACAGACACGGCTCACCTGCGCGGGAGTGGGCGCGGGGTCGCTGAGGCGCGCCAGTTGGGCAGCGACTGCAGGAAGCGCACGATGTCGTCGTCAGCCAGCCAGCGGGTCGCGTCATATATAGCGCGGCTGGCAGTACGAGCACAGACACGGCTCACCTGCGCGGGAGTGGGCGCGGGGTCGCTGAGGGCGCGCCAGTTGGGCAGCGACTGCAGGAAGCGCACGATGTCGTCGTCAGCCAGCCAGCGGGTCGCGTCATATATAGCGCGGCTGGCAGTACGAGCACAGACACGGCTCACCTGCGCGGGAGTGGGCGCGGGGTCGCTGAGGGCGCGCCAGTTGGGCAGCGACTGCAGGAAGCGCACGATGTCGTCGTCAGCCAGCCAGCGGGTCGCGTCATATATAGCGCGGCTGGCAGTACGAGCACAGACACGGCTCACCTGCGCGGGAGTGGGCGCGGGGTCGCTGAGGGCGCGCCAGTTGGGCAGCGACTGCAGGAAGCGCACGATGTCGTCGTCAGCCAGCCAGCGGGTCGCGTCATATATAGCGCGGCTGGCAGTACGAGCACAGACACGGCTCACCTGCGCGGGAGTGGGCGCGGGGTCGCTGAGGGCGCGCCAGTTGGGCAGCGACTGCAGGAAGCGCACGATGTCGTCGTCAGCCAGCCAGCGGGTCGCGTCATATATAGCGCGGCTGGCAGTACGAGCACAGACACGGCTCACCTGCGCGGGAGTGGGCGCGGGGTCGCTGAGGGCGCGCCAGTTGGGCAGCGACTGCAGGAAGCGCACGATGTCGTCGTCAGCCAGCCAGCGGGTCGCGTCATATATAGCGCGGCTGGCAGTACGAGCACAGACACGGCTCACCTGCGCGGGAGTGGGCGCGGGGTCGCTGAGGGCGCGCCAGTTGGGCAGCGACTGCAGGAAGCGCACGATGTCGTCGTCAGCCAGCCAGCGGGTCGCGTCATATATAGCGCGGCTGGCAGTACGAGCACAGACACGGCTCACCTGCGCGGGAGTGGGCGCGGGGTCGCTGAGGGCGCGCCAGTTGGGCAGCGACTGCAGGAAGCGCACGATGTCGTCGTCAGCCAGCCAGCGGGTCGCGTCATATATAGCGCGGCTGGCAGTACGAGCACAGACACGGCTCACCTGCGCGGGAGTGGGCGCGGGGTCGCTGAGGGCGCGCCAGTTGGGCAGCGACTGCAGGAAGCGCACGATGTCGTCGTCAGCCAGCCAGCGGGTCGCGTCATATATAGCGCGGCTGGCAGTACGAGCACAGACACGGCTCACCTGCGCGGGAGTGGGCGCGGGGTCGCTGAGGGCGCGCCAGTTGGGCAGCGACTGCAGGAAGCGCACGATGTCGTCGTCAGCCAGCCAGCGGGTCGCGCGCGAGCCGCCCGTGCCGCTGGCGCCGGGAGTCATTCGCGCGTGCGCCGCGCGACATTGCGTCGCCAGTGCGGCTAGGGCACCTGATAATATAAATAATAGATAAATATTAATATTTCTAACATTCGTTAAGAGTTGACTTCTATCGCAGATCACGAACTAAAACATAGAAGTAATGCGTTTGAGTGTACACTCCCATAGACAAAAGATTTCCAAACAAAGTATTACTCAAGCAAGAAATATCGTTAAATTTGACATTAGATCACTATTTGATTCGGTATCGTAAAGAAAACCAAGCAAAAATATAATATAATAAATTACTCTCTCGACTATAGATCGAAAACCACTCGTGTGATAGATCCTATATTTCAGAAAGCCGTATAAACGCATCTTTCTGTATTTTATTGCATTGAACGCTTTTAGGCTGTAAAAACATGTCTAGTAAACGTTTACTCGACGGATTAATGTTACATTCACTCGATAATTGTATAAAGACATCTTTCGATCATCTTCATACTACCATATGTTTTATGACAGCTCTTTGAAAGCAACGGAATTGACAAATTGTCGCCAAACCTGCTTTTACAGCACTATCTTTCAAAAACGAATTCTTAGAACAATATTGTAGAGAAAAGGCAATTCATTCAACAAAAAACATAGCTTTCTGGAGGGCTTCAATTCTATATAAATCTTAAAAGTTGAGAAAACGCTTTCTGTACAACCCTGTACTAATTGAGGGTTGGTTTCTGGGGGTTAATTGCCAGGGGGTTTCTTAAATCAAAAAAAACTGGCACCCTGTTTCCACAGATCGCTGTGGCCCAATTTATTCGCAATTTTGAACCTTATTTATCTATTATAAGTATATACATAAAATATTTTCGACAGCGCGATTTAGAATATATACCTGAACATTTGACACATTTTATTAGCACCATCTTTCGTAACCAAATGGTACTAAATACTATCAAAACCAAAATAAACATTGTTTAAGGTTGAACATTCCGCCCACCAAGGACATATAGTGGCTGGCCACGGTATGTTCTTAACTAAGATAATCGCAACTCAACAAACTAAAAACCCTTATGTTTAACAAATGAATAACAATACAACTTCCAAAAACAAAAGTTGAACTTACAAAATATTAAAAAATAACTACCTTCTTATACCAGTATCTATAATAACTTACAATCACAATTTATTGACCTTTGTTTTAGCTGTGATCAACGTTACATGTACCTTGCCGTCAACACTAAGAACCCGTGCGTAGACAACTGCAGCATAAGCTGTTTTCGAGGCATCCGAGAAACCATGCAACTCTACTCGTTGGTCGCCTAGACGGGTGCTTAGCCATCGAGGTATCGATAATTTACCTAAAGATTGCAGTTCTTCACGGTAAGTATTCCACTCCTTTTTATATCGTCTGGAACTTGATCATCCCATCCGATACCTAATATCCATAACTTTTGAATTAGTATCTTTGCTATCACAACCACTGGTGCAACCCAACCTAGTGGATCAAACAATTTCGCTACGTCTGATATTATTTTTCTTTTTGTTACAGGTCTCGGTGTCATCAAAGGAAGCTGCACGGAATATTGGAAGCTGTCACTACTTCGATTCCAGGTAAGTCCTAAAATCTTTAATATTTCTTCTTGCTTAAATTTAATGCTCTTAGCTATTTGCATATCTTCCTTGTCATTACTAGCAATCTCAGCCAATAATTCATTGCTATTGCTCGACCATTTCTGCAATTCAAAACCTGCCTTCATTAATAAGCTGTTCATCTCTTTGTATATCTGTATGCCCTCCTGAATTGTCTGACAGCCTGTCATAAGATCATCCATGTAAAAGTCATTCAGTACTCTTTCAGCGGCCATCGGATAAGCCTGCCCCTCATCGTGTGCAACTTGCTGCATGGCTCGCACTGCTAAAAATGGCGCAGATGCTGTCCCAAATGTTACAGTAAGTAATTTGTATTCCTCAACTTGAGATTCCTTACTGTCTCTCCATAATATTCGCTGAAAGTTGGTGTGTTTTTCAGTTAGCAACACCTGTCTATACATTTTAATTATGTCAGCTATAAGACAAATAGGATGAGCTCTCCACTTCATAATTAAATGTCTCAACTCCGGTTGCAAACTAGCTCCAATCATAAGGTCATCATTAAGAGAAATTCCATTTTTTCCTTTACACGAGGCATCGAAAACAACGCGCACCTTGGTTGTGTCTTTATCGTTTCGAACGACAGCGTGATGTGGTAAGTACACTACATTTGCTTTGTTTGTATCTAATTTTTCTTCTCTTGACAACGGTTTCATATGACCCAGTGTTAAATAATCATTGATAACCTGTGTATAACTCTGTTTCAGATCAGTATTTCGACTTAATTTTGACTCTAGATACTGAAATCTTTTAAGTGCAATAGCTCTAGAGTCGCCATATGGACTATTCGGATTTACAGTTTTAAAAGGTAAGTGAACAATATAACGACCGTTTTCATTCCTTTTCGTAGTGCTACTAAATAATTCTTCACATTTCTTTTCTTCTTCTGTAAGTATGTGTTTTCCAATATCACTTGGTTCCTGCTCCATTTCCCAAAATTTTCTTAGTAGATCGTCTTCCTTAAATTGAGTATGCAAAACTGTAAGATTAGTTCCTTTATTATTTTCTTTAACTGTTCCCGATATAATCCACCCTAGCGTTGTACATTGAGCTATCATTGATCCATCTGGTGCCCTTTTCAAACCTTCCTGCAAAACCTTAGTATAAACGTCCGCCCCAAACAGCATATCAACTCTGTTTGGTGTGTGAAACGCAGGATCAGCTAACGGTAAATTATTCACCGTTACCCAATCAAAACATGCTACTTTCTTTACAGGTAACAGCGAGGTGATTGACTTTAGAACATACGCCTTTACAATCACATTTTTTGATGAATCAATTCTAGATTGGATATTAACTTCAACTAATGCCTTTGAAATTAGACTTTTTTCTCCTCCTATTCCAGATATTGTACCCCGGATAGATTTTTTCTTCAAACCCAGCCTTTGGACGGTATCCTCGGTTACAAAAGAGGCTTGTGAGCCTTGATCTAGCAAGGCTCTCACGGTGTACATAGAACCGTTTATCGAAACAGCTTTGACTAGAGCCGTGGCTAATAATACGTGATTATTAGCAGATCCTTTCGACATACAGGACACCACGTTTGCTTCTTCCTCTAAACCAGCCGTATGTACGCGTGACGTTGAGGGTTGAGGCTCGCTGGTATTCGTTGAACCAGGTGAATGGTTTACCTTATAACCTGCCTCTTGCTCCCCCTGAGCATGTAACAGCGAGTGGTGTCGGCGCTTGCAAATTCGGCAAGATGCTGTACGCTTGCATTGCCTAGCAGAGTGACCGTGACCCATGCAATTAAAACATAAATTATTTTCTTGAACAAATTTCCTACGAGTAATCGCATCACGTTGACAAAATTGTTTACAATAACCAATATAATGATCTTCATTACAATAAGCGCAACCAGAAGAAGCAGTTACAAATACTTTAGGCTTAGTTACAGTTGTTGAATAAGCCTTATTGGATTTGGTTTCTAAAAATTCAAATGCTCTGTATCTACTAGTAAGAAATTCCTTAAATTGATCAAATGTTGGTAACGTATCAGACTCATTATTACTAGTGACTTTCAACTCCCACTCTCTCCTACTATCTGAATCTAATTTTAAAGTAAGCAAGTGAATGACAAGTATATCCCATGAAGTAGTGTTTATCCCCAAGTTATTGAGTGCTTCTAAGCACTCAGTTGTAGTATCGGTCAGTTCTTTCAGAGCTCCTGCCGATTCCCCAATAATATTACGCTGACTCAACAACCTTCGCAAAATACAATGAGACAAATATTTTTTGTTGTTATAACGGGATTCCAACTGAGACCAACACCTATCGTAATTAGCTTCTGATATCGGTACATGGCGCAAAAGCTGCTCCGCTTCACCAATAAGGTAACACTTTAAATAATGTAGCTTTTGTACCTTGTCTAAACTGGTATTTTTATGAATGGCTGATACAAATAAGTCTCTAAACGTTGGCCATTCGGTATATTTACCCGAGAAATTAGGAATAGTAATCCTAGGCAATTTAATATTATTATTTTGCATTTCACCTTTAACATTGGTAGAAGCAATTGATTGAGACACCTCTCTGCTTTTAAACTTACTACAAGCATTTTTTATATCGACTTTCAAAGCTAAATACAACTCTTCCATGTTATCATAAGTATCATTTTTATAATAAGAGGTTTCGTCAACCTCTTGCTTGTCATAATTTTGTATAATATTTGTATGGTTACTAGTGAACTGAGTCCACAACTGCTCTACATTTTCCAATCTAGACTCTAGATAACATTTAGTAATCCTATCTTTAGGTGACTTCTTATAGTTACTCTGTGCTTTTACAAGTCTATTATAAAGGTCTTCTTGAACCTTAATCAATGACAGCAACATCTTAATAGTTTTAACAAAAAACTACTGTTACAGAAAAATTTCAAAATAATTGTAAGTCTTTGACATGTACAATCGGTCGCACCAAAATCGGGCATAGGTTCCCCGTATGAACCAAATTTCACTTATTATTCTAAGTCTAACTAAAACTCTACTCAAATTTCGCTAAGTCCAGAATTCTTAAAATTATTCTAAGTTTACAATCTCTAGTACATAAGGTTCAATATTACCAGATTTTTCACAAATTAATTAAAAAACTAAAGTTAAACAGTCAATAGTTCTAAGGTTCACTTTCGCTTGTAAAAATCTTCAAGTACTCACTGTTGGCAAAAGTGTCACACATATGTGATGGCGCTGATATTTTTATGTGTTATCGATTGTACTCCCTTCCTTCCACTATTCTGTCCAGTAGCTGGTCATCCAAAATTCCAACTCCTTGGATGCCCTTCTTCATCAGGTAGGGACAGAATAGGGATGATGCTTTGAAAAACCAAAAGCTGAAAACACCTGAAATATTATTGTGCACAAATCGATCCGGCTCTCGAAGGACCATGTACAACCCTGTACTAATTGATGGTTGGTTTCTGGGGGTTAATTGACAGGGGGTTTCTTAAATCAAAAAAAAACTGGCACCCTGTTTCCACAGATCGCTGTGGCCCAATTTATTCGCAATTTTGAACCTTATTTATCTATTATAAGTATATACATAAAATATTTTCGACAGCGCGATTTAGAATATATACCTGAACATTTGACACATTTTATTAGCACCATCTTTCGTAACCAAATGGTACTAAATACTATCAAAACCAAAATAAACATTGTTTAAGGTTGAACACTTTCAAATGATCAATTAAGGATGATGTTGCCTTATAATATGCGTCATCGCGGCATGCCACAAAGCTGCATGCTACAATATTTAAAAATGTCACATCGTCATTGTGGCGAATATTGCGTCATGTGGCACATTGTCGCATCGTGTATCCGAACACTATGGATTACTCTGCGCTCCGAATGGCAAAAGTTAAACAAATTGCAGTGGTAGTCTCATGAAAGGCAATCTTTTAAATGACACCCTTTTTTGTTGTTATATTTTGGGCCCAAGTTTGTATGAAATCGATTCAATCATCTTTGGTAAAGTTAATCGAACGATTCTAGTTTTATTTCATTTTTTATTCTTTATTAAGCCATACACTTTAAAGGTTAAGCCAACTCCATAGCAATAACTTTAATTAATATCACAATTCGATAAGGACAATGAAAGAAACTTAAGAATTCTGTCGCTGTTATTACAACTAAAGTTGGAACTAAAACATTGATGAAATATAAAAAAATAAATCAATGAGATCAACTCTGTGTGTTTCGTACTGCTAACACTCCATCAGTATGTGCATCAAATTTTCAGTATTTTGACAACTGTCACAATAGGGATTATTTCTATTCTACAGTTAATTACCTGTGGTAGCACGTAAAGCTTCAACTCCACCGCATGGGCCGCATCGCTTAGCAGCCAGAGCCGCGTCCACTACAGCTTGCCAGCCTTCCGCGCAGCACGCGAATATTATTCGATGACGTGACCTGTCACACAAACTGAATACTTTTTTATCTGAAAGCGATGGAAAACGGCTCCTGATAATTTATTGATGTGTTCCTCTCGCTTTCATGCAATTTGTGGGAGTGGGAGTTCGAACCTGTAGTTCGTCTGATTGTCAGTATTGTTTTCGAACAAAATTCAGAACTTAACCAATGACAAATATAAACGCCGCAATCCACGGGCAGGTTGATGCAGTACTCCTAGCATGAACCATTATTGAATTCGAATAGTTTGCAAACCGAAATATCAATGTCAAATTTTGTATGGAAACTTGAACAGCAGCGGCACAAAGCACGTAACGAGAACTAAAAATCAGTACACATTTGACAATGACATTTCAGACTCGCAAACGATACGAATTCGATATTGGTTCGTGCTAGGGGTACTGATCGCTTAATGTTGGGCAAAATCGAGTCCAAACGAGGCAGTTACATACATACAAACAAACATACAGGTGAAACTAATAACAGCGTGTTAAAAGGGAGAGAAACCGTGGAGTAAAGAGTTCATTTGGCAGTTTTACCACCACAGAGCCTTTAAAGTAGCCGAAACGGCAGGAATAATGAACAAAAGTTAACGAATCCCGGTTTATACTTCTTAAGAAAGTGTTTTAATAATAGTTATTTATTATACAAGAGTGGAAAGTTCCTTTTTAACCGCGTGCTCGATTTGGATGACCGAGCAAGCGAAGGATTCTAAATTAGAATCCTGAGCGTCAGCGAGGGAAACAAACGAGCACAAGGTGAAAAATCTTTCCACTCGAGTGCAATACGTAACTTTTCATCCCACCTCAGCGAGGAAATGACAAAATGAAAAAGAAAACAATTTATAATGACAAAATATTTAAGCAATAAAACGTGAAAAACTAGAATGGCGCGAAGCACGCAAATAAAACAAAGAAACCAAGAAGGTTCCAAATTTAAATTTTTTCACAATTTAAAAAGTTCTAATCATAAATTTGGCACCATAGAGGTTACATTAAATAGGTTTAATGACGTTTTGAATTTACAATTATATTGAGTACTCATTATATGTGATGTTCTAAATTCAAATCTACTTTGCCGCTCAAGCGAATAAAATAGAATTTTCCAGCCAGATTTCGAAGCGCAAAATTACACTTACCGAGGTGGTGGGATGAAAAATTACTTGTACCCTTACCACGAACCAAAATCGAATTCGTAACGTTTTCGAGTCCGAAATGTCATTGTCAAATGTGTACTGATTTTTAGTTCCTGTTACGTCCAACGTGGCGCTGCTGTTCAAGTTTCCATACAAAATTTGACATTGACATTTCGGTTTGCAAACTATTCGAATTCGATAATGGTTCGTGCTAGGGGTACTGTTTACAGACATACCCGCTAGGTGGCGCTCTGACGGTCTGCCTCCACGCGGAGGGGGCCCGCATGGCAGTGTCTATGGCAGTTCGGGCGGCGGTCGCCAACCTCTCCCCTTCACCGGAACGAACGTAGTCCGTCACGAAGGCACGCAGAGAACATTCGCCACCACTGGACATTAGGGATACAGATAGGTAACAGTTAGTTATTTATTACATACTAGCGGCCGCCCGCGACTTCGTACGCGTGGTGTTAGTTAGAAATAAAGGTTCACTGCTCGTTCCCCGTAGGTGATGGAGTGATAATATGTAGCCTATATGTTGACCCGACTTCTTGATAATATTCGTGCCAAATTTGAAGTAAATCCATGCAGTACAATTTCCCCCTTATTAAAAATTACTTTTTAGTTGCGAGCACCCCGGTGCTCGATTTTAAAATCATCGTACTAACGGTTGTTTAGTCATAAGAACGACTTCACCACAATGAGTGAATGGTTTATTCATCTGGGTATAAAATTCAAAAGACTGAACTGTATTGCATTATATTTATTCTTAAAATTGCAAAAAATTTAATGCGGGTGACGAGCAAGCAGATCTGCACTTCCGCAAACGGGCTATACTCACGAAGGCATGTAGATATGCACTTCTGCGGTTCAAAGGTAAATAAACGGGGAATAAGCTTAAGACTAGTTACGCCGTGTTTTGTTCATGTCACTCAAATGCCATTTGTCATTCAATGAACAGAGACAAAACATAGAGTAAGTAATCCAAGCTTATACTTCTTTTATTAATAAGGGTGTTTGTGTTTATACCGAACATACATACAGACAAACAGAAAAACAGACAAAAACTATATATTTGGCGTTTGCAGCGTTCGGGAAATGACGAATTTTCAGTCCAAATTACCTCAGTGCCTCGAGATAAAAGTCTTTGACCAGCGTGTGTTGCGAGTGATGACCCATGGAAGCGAAATGTGGTCGTTTACCGTGGGGCTTATAGCAAGGAATGCATGGCGTAATGCTGTGTATGCATGATCCGATTATTAATAAGGTATATGATTGCATTGAATCATGTCTACCAATCAATGTCGCCAATCTATACTATTTGGCTTCTGTATCGATTGTAAATCACACCCCTAGTATTCTTTTAAAAATACATTCAATGTACAGTTTTGACTTCCCTAACATTTTATTATATGTATAAATTTTACTGCAATAGGCTATTTGAGGAACTCGTTGGCGCAGGTGGTTAGCGCGTTCGGCTGCGATCGTTGAAGTTGAGCAACTTTCGCAGTGGCCGGTCATTGGATGGGTGATCAAAAATCTTCTATCTCGAGTTCCTCCGTGATTCGGAAGGCACGTTAAACCGTTGGTCTTGGCTGCATCTGGAGTCGTTAGCACCCACCAATCCGCACTGGGCCCGCGTGGTGAGTCATGGCCCAATCTCCCTAATCCATCCATAGGGAAGTCCTGTGCCCCAGCAGTGGGGACATTAATAGGCTGATAATGAGACTATTTGGCAGTATAAAAATTAAAGTACCTGGAATTTGGCATGTGTAATTACCACGAATATTGGAATTTCAGTATTCTGACAAAAAAAGTTGTAGATAATATTAGTAAAAATCATGAAAGTTTTTTTTATCTATTGTCACTTGACCGCAAACGCTTAGGATTGGCGGAGCCTGAAATGACGTCACATGCTTGTAAACATGCTGTCGGAGTGACTTTATCTTATACCGTTTGTCGTTTTAATGAGAGCTGGTGACTTCAATTTGCCTGTAACACGCCATTTTTTCTATAGACATTCCGCGCCATTTTAGAAATAGAATTTTTATTCCGTACGTGTAAAATTTGGAGTCTCGAAACCCAGCGGTTTAGGTCGTGCGTTGATTGTCAGCCAGTCAGTCAGTTTCTTCTTAAAAATATTAAGGCTTGTATTACAGAATGACAATTAAGTGTTGATATTTACTTGAGTACAGTTAGAAAGGGATGTCGCTATGTGCTATATTTCTATGTCTAAGGCTCGTATTACAGAATGACAGTTAAGTGTTGATCTTTACTTGAGTACAGTTAGAAAGGGATGTCACTATATGCATTACATAGCGACATCCCTTTCTAAATCTAAGGCTCGTATTACAGACTCACGTAAAGGGAATGTTGCTATGTATAGCACATAGCGATATCCCTTTCTAACTGTGTCTAATATTTATCAACGATATTGCAACCGTGATAAATTATAGCTTTGTCCATATTCGCAGATGATATTAAAATTTATAAATGTATCGAATCCACGGAAGATGCTCGTCTCCTACAATCAGATTTGTACAATATATCTGTCTGGTGCCATAAAAACGGAATGTTACTAAACCCCTCAAAATGCTGCTCCATCAGTTTCACTAGAAAGAGATTTCCTATTGATACCAAATACACATTGTCCGGCGTAACTTTGGCAAGGGTCACGGAGGTCAAAGACTTAGGTGTTAAGCTGGACAATAAATTGAATTTTGCGGCACATATAAATAATCTAGTGAATAACGCCGCTCGTATGTTGGGTTTTCTAAAAAGAAATGCAAAAGAATTTCGCAATGTAAAAACTAAGACAGTACTCTTTAATACCCTTGTGCGTAGTCATCTCGAGTTTGCTAGCGTGGTTTGGAATCCCGTATACGCGGCGCCATCCCAACGAATTGAATCTATACAGCGAGCGTTTACTCGTTATATTGCCTTTTTGACACCTGGTATATCCCACAGGCATCCATACAAGGAGAGACTTGATTTTTTCCAAGTTACATCATTAAAAAATCGACGTACGATAGCGGATTTACTGTTTCTACATAAAATTCTTAATAATGACATGAACAGTATTCATCTTCTTGGTGAGATTGGAATTGCAGTACCCTGTAGATACCCGCGCTATAAAGTACGCAAAATGTTTAATATACCAAGTCACAAAACAAACTTGGGTATTCATTATCCCATAGCTAGGATATGCAACGCGTATAACGAATTGTTAATGAAGGTACCCAGTATTGACATTTTCAACGATTCTACTCGAACTTTCAGAAACAAACTATTGCATCACTTTCAGCCTCCCAGTGTGTATTCGACGTAGTTAACAATTTTTTTTTGTGTGTTCTTAATAAAAATAACCTTAATAAATCAATAATAGCAGCATTTGTTAAAGATAATGTTCTTGTTCTCCTTTCATTTTAATTAATGTTAAACGATATGGTATAAATGTTGTGTATATCTATAATTGGCAAACATATGTAAACAGTAAAATTATCCTCTATATATTACGAATGTCTTGTATGTTATGCTGTTGATGTACTTATAAATAAATAAATAAATAAACTGTACTTGCGGGTACGGGTGGCCGTGTGGAGCTCCTGCATTATAGTTTAGTTTAGGTAAAGCGCACTATACTAAACATCGCTGCGTCGATATATCGCTCGTTCGAATCTCACAGACTCGTGGCCGTATTTAACTAAACTGCAGCGGCGCAATTTTGTAAAAATGACTTCGCATTCGAAGATGCTATGTCAGGCGAGCGAAACAAAAATAGAGCTCCTGGGCTATTACCCGTAATCCCACCGACATGTCCCCCTATTGTGTCCACGAGTATCTTTTTTTACCTGTGGTCCTACCGTTCCAAAGTGTTCGCCAATGGGTCTATGGGTATTAATTTTAACTATGGTCCCACCGCACTAAGTGGTAAAAATTTATTGAAAACTATAGCTGTTACTGGTGAGATTTCAGATGGTGTGACACAATTACTTTTGGGCTTTGGACTAAAAACGATGGCTGAAAATCAGCGCTGCTGTGGTATCGCGAAAACGTTTACCACAGAGCATAGCTGAGGCAGCGTTTGTCCTTACACGGCATGAACCTAGTAAATAGTTCCTTTAATTTATGTTTTACTATTAAATAACCATTTTGTTCTTCTAAATTAACACTGTGAAGGCCAATAAAATGTTTTTCTTTCTTTCTTACTTAAGTAAAGAGCAACAGTTAGTAGGCAGCAGCGCGTGCAGGTGCGCGGGCTCGGCGCGGCACACGAGGCGGCGGCGAGCGCCCGCGGGGTTCACGCCTACGGCCGGGGCCGGGCACGCGCCACTACCGGCTATACGAGCCTCATATTACATATTATACGCACGGGTGCAGCGCCTCGATGTGCGCGCACAGCGCGTGCAGGTGCGGCAACAGCGCGTGCAGGTGCGCGGGCTCGGCGCGGCACACGAGGCGGCGGCGAGCGCCCGCGGGGTTCACGCCTACGGCCGGGGCCGGGCACGCGCCACTACCGGCTATACGAGCCTCATATTACATATTATACGCACGGGTGCAGCGCCTCGATGTGCGCGCACAGCGCGTGCAGGTGCGGCAACAGCGCGTGCAGGTGCGCGGGCTCGGCGCGGCACACGAGGCGGCGGCGAGCGCCCGCGGGGTTCACGCCTACGGCCGGGGCCGGGCACGCGCCACTACCGGCTATACGAGCCTCATATTACATATTATACGCACGGGTGCAGCGCCTCGATGTGCGCGCACAGCGCGTGCAGGTGCGGCAACAGCGCGTGCAGGTGCGCGGGCTCGGCGCGGCACACGAGGCGGCGGCGAGCGCCCGCGGGGTTCACGCCTACTCCCGGACACGCCCCACCACCGGCTACGAGCAAACTTCATCATATTTATTTATTATTACGGTGTAGTGAACTGTAAATCACTTTTTCTACGTGTTGATAACATTTCCCCGATACGATTAGGTATCTTAGCCCTAAAGGTGTTTTTGATATCGTGCGGATTTCATATCGCACGCGGGATTGCCCCGCATACGGAAAATTTCACGCAGCGTGAGACATGCAAGCCTACAATCTAGTTTTCTGCGGTTGTGGTTCTGTACAATGGACGACAAACTCCGCAAAGTATTGATCTTATACTTAATCTACAAAAGACGGAATAAGAAGACAAGATCACCGTATGGCCTGTTATTTGAAAACAAGATTCTTGCTGGAAACTTTGTCACACACTATGGTGAATTACGAATGAGTGAACGGAAATTTAAGATTTATTTTCGAATATGCATTCGTCACTTAAACTTTCGAAATTTGGTTGTGTGTTGGTGAAAATTGTTTCCAGGCTGCGTCTCTGTTCGCTGTCTGTCTCGCGTCAAGGCCGCAAATGTACATCAATTATAACACTAAATTTCGTCCATGTCTATTTTCATTTTCGATTTGTCTGTACAACACGCGCGTGCTCCCCGCATGATAGTTAAATGCACACTGGATTTCGTAGATGTGCACACGCATGCGGGGTCCCCGCGCGGTGCATCCCGCACCGCATCAGACTTACGAATAGTACGACAAAGAAATGAGTCACCAAATTTCTTAGTTCGTGTAGGAATAGAGGCAACAGTAAATCGGTGTCAATGATATTTCTCACAAAATTTTGGCATCTTCACCGTCTGTTTATTCTGGTTCTGCTGAGTATATTTTCTTGGAGATCTCTGTAGGGGGAGCTAGGGCCGTTCTTGCAGTTGTGTACTGTCTACCTACTGTAGACTATTTTACTCATATTGAGTCTATCCTCGAACCTCTTTGTACAGATTACAGGCATCTCATAATCATGGGCGATTTTAATACCGATCTCATGCGTAATACGCCACAATCTCTTAAACTGTCTAATATTGTCAAGTCCATCAATCTCTCTATTCTGCCTTCTGAGCCTACGCATCACAACCCCTCTTCTTATGATACATGGCTTGATTTAATAATAACCTCTCCTGATGATGTGATCAGTCATGGTCAACTACCTGCCCCCGGGTTTTCTAAACATGACCTAATCTTCCTGAAATATAAATTGAAACCCCCTAAGCAGAAACCCACTATACTCTGGATGCGTAATTTCTCTAGACTTGATATTGACAGGTTGAGGCAGGATGCTGCTCGGCTCGACTTTTCCTGTGTTATGGAGTCGTCGTCAGTTGATGAGAAAGGCTCTCACTTTAATAATCGTTTACTCCAACTGTACGAAACTCATGCCCCAATAAAGGCGGTAAGAGTCAAGCGACCACCTGCTCCATGGATCAATAGAAGTGTCCGTATGGCCATGACTCGGAGGGACCGCGCTTTCCGAACCTTTAAGCGCAGCAGGTCGGAGGAGAACTGGCGTCTCTATAAATCTGCACGGAATAGATGCAATGGAATCGTAAGAGCAGCTAAGCGTCAATATTTTCATAATAATATTTCTAATTGTTCTGTAGCCAATATTTGGAAGTTTTTACGTTCACTTGGGTTAGGTAAAAGCTCTTCTCCATCTCAGTCTCTTCCCTTCTCTCTTGATGAATTCAATAAACATTTCTCTGGTATTTCTTCCTTGGAACCCTCTATCAAATCTAAAACTATCGATCTAATAACTTCCAAGGCTCAATCTCACTCTGTATCATTTTCCTTTTCTCCAATGTCAAATGATGAAATTAAGAAAATTATTGTATCCATAAAATCGAAAGCCGTAGGATACGATGAAGTGAGCAGGGATATGGTTATAAATATTATAGACATTATCCTTCCAATTATTGGCCATATCGTCAATTATTCCTTCCTGACTGGTTCCTTTCCACTTCCTTGGCGTAAAGCCTACGTTATTCCCCTTCCTAAAACTTCCACTCCCACACAACTGAACAACTTTAGGCCAATTTCCATCCTTCCATTCCTCTCCAAAATTCTTGAAGCTGCTGCTCACCAACAAATATCACCTTTTATACACTCGAGGCAGGTACTTACTCCTTTTCAATCCGGCTTTCGACCTGGGCACAGTACATCGACTGCTCTACTTAAGGTAACCGAGGACATCCGACTTGGCATGGAGAACCAGTTGGTCACCATTATTGTCCTTATTGACTTCTCCAATGCTTTCAATATGGTGGACCACGATGTTCTACTTGCGATTCTGAAAACTCTTAATTTTTCGTCTTTGACATTGGACTGGTTTTCATCTTACCTCACTGGTCGCCAGCAGGCAGTGCGCAAGGACCGTGAATTGTCAAGTTGGAACGACTTGACTGCTGGCGTTCCACAAGGGGGCATTCTTTCCCCTCTTCTTTTCTCTTTGTTCATTAACTTTCTTTCCTTCTCGCTTGGCTGCTTTTATCATTTCTATGCTGATGATTTGCAGATTTATGTGCAGACAACTGCTGAGGAAATTTCTGCTGGAATAACTCAGCTCAATAGGGAACTTTGCACTGTAAGTTCTTGGTCTGCTGACTTTGGAATTGCCGTTAACCCCACCAAATGTCAAGCTATTGTAGTGGGTGGCTCCAAGCAGATCTTCAAGATCGATGTTGGTCTGCTCCCACCTGTTGTGTTTGAAGGTTCTATAATTCCATATAGCCTTAGCGTTAAGAATCTCGGCCTTCATATTGATACAACGCTAAGTTGGACGACGCAGATTGCCGAAGTCAGCCGTATCGTTTCTTATTCGTTGCGTACCCTTAATCGCTTCAGAAATTTTCTCCCTATAAAAACTAAGATCACTCTCGTTACGTCCCTTGTTCTTCCTCTCATTGATTATGCCGATGTCTGTTATCCTGATTTAAACGCAGATCTTCTCAATAAATTGGACCGCCTGATGAATAATGCTATACGTTTCATCTTTTGCTTCCGCAAATTTGACCATGTTTCATCATATCGATCCCAACTTAAATGGCTTCCTGTTCGCCAGCGCAGGCAGTTAGAGATTTACGAGAAGATTACTCTGCACTCTTTTTACCATTATTTCCAACCCTCATTCTCCAGAGTACTTGAAATGTAAGTTTCAGTATCTCTGTGATAGTCACGACCGTCCTCTCCGCTCTGCTGATTCATTAGCTCTCTATATTCCTCTTTCTCATTCAGGCTATATGTCCAACTCCTTTACTCTTCAAGCCATACGACTGTGGAATGACCTTCCCGACCACATCAGAAGATCTCCTAGTAAACTTGTATTTAAAAGGAATGTTCACGCTCATCTGTTGCAAAATTTAAGATTAAGTGTCACTTTTTAATCATCATCATGTATATATTATATGTATCTATATACATATATATATATTTAAATATTATTGTGTTATGTTTGTATGTATTACATTATTTTTATGGTATGTATTTATTTATGTATCTATGTTTTTTGTACATTTATTCGTATTTAGCTTTATAGCGCTGTTCGTGTTTCTCATTTTTCCCAAAGGTTGACTGGGAGAGAATGCTTTTAGCATTAAGTCCGCCTTTTGTACCATTGTTTATATTTTGGTCAATAAAGTTTAAATAAATAAATAAGTCGGTGGCAACGTAGGCCAGCACGCGTGGTCCTATGAAGAAAAGGCGATGGAGGGATAACGGAGAATAACTCCTCAGACTCGCCGTGGTATAGTCGGTAGAATTCGCTTAATGATGCAACATCGCGGCGTAATAGGGGTGATGACGGGGTACAGTAAACGAAATTCTATTTAGTCCGTCAGTTAGATGATCAAAAATAATGGACGCGTATTTTTTCTTTGGGCAATCAACCAAAAAATGACAAAGTTATAGCGCGTCAAAGTTTGGGAGTAGGGGCTCGTGACGTCACTTTTGAGTGAATTTTCACTTATAAGTACTCAAACGTGACGTCATGCGACTTTTCAAATTAATATATCTCTGCAATGTTTATATTATGTGAAAAAAGAAAAAATACGGGTCCAATACTTATTGATAATCTACCTGATAAACGAAGAAAAAAAAATAGTCATCATCCCTATTGTCGCCATCTCTTCACATTGTACCCACAATATCAAAAATACGAAGAAATAGCAATTGTTAAAATCTAAAGAAAATTTTCGAGTTCAGACGGGTACGAGTCTTGTCTGCTGCCTCGTACGCGTACCTTTTTTTTAGTAAAATTTTCTTGAAATTTAAACATCTAGAAGTTAAATGCTTAAAGACAATTAATATAAATCTTTTGGTACCCAATTTACGACGTAGACAATCGATATAAAATAGTCCTCAATTAATTTCTTAACTATCAAATAGCCAATTTCTTTCAAAACTCACCGTTCAACTTGAACAGTTTAGCGCGTCGCCTCTGCGGTTTTTTCTTGGCGAAGTAGTCCGCGAGCCGCAGTTCGGTGTTAACTTCGCTATTAGCGGCGCCCGTAGAACGAACCGCGGCTAAGTTCACGCTTTCGATGTCCAAGTACTCGGTTAGCAGAAGTTGGAACTGCGAATGAGTGATAACATTTTAAAAAATTCATATTTTAATTTGTTTATTTATATCAGATATAGAATAGGTAGATATAAAAGATATAGAACAGCTAGAGCAATTTTTTGTGAGGGCTATGCACGCTAGTATCAGTATACTATAACATGACAGAATAACGATTTTGAGCTTTGAATCTGGACACTAAGTTTGAAAATCAGCTATTTCAAGATATCTTATAATATTGTCACAAACGCTCGAAAGATCGAATTTGCCAGATCACCGCGGGTCGCGATAGAGGCCGAGAAAGCGGCTCATTCAAAAATGAGCCTTATGCAGTGCGGCGTAAGGGAGAAAGTGCAACGACATCTGCACTTGTTTACAAGTTATGCGCGTTACCTGCGTAGGTATAAGTAGGTACTTCGTACTCGCGGGTGCTAGCTAATTCTCAATTTAACAGGTACTTTCTAGAATGCGTCGATCAGCGTATATAAGCACGATTGGAGCCGCGCAGACACAGTTGAGTTTCAACAGCGATTTCGGAGCAAATCCAAAGGCGATCAAAGTGCAACAAAAGTGTTCAAGTGTTAAAGTTAAGACTTGTATAGTGAAATAGTGTTTAGTAAGTGTTTTGTAATTAACATTGTGTGTTAATTGTGTGAACTGTGTGGTGAATAAAGAACTGTCAAGCGTGAACTGGCATAAAATTTCGAACCCCATCCCGACACGTAACAATATCATAGTAGAATATAGTTCGAAGTTAAGAGTTAAAATGATATAAAAACAACATCACGCTTTATAAAGATAATTCATATTAAACGATTAATTAACAATTTTAAATTATTGGATGTGTATGACTCACGACTTGTTGAACAGCGCTCCAGTAATGTTGCTCAGTGTGAAGATAAGAATCCGATATCTTATGCCTTTGTAACGCAGCACGCCACAATTGCAATAGCCTGCGCAAAAAATCAACATTAAATTACATCCTAAGTAGTAGTGTTCAATAAAAAATGATTGGTGATTTTTTGTTTTAGCTGATGAATCCGTATCCATTACGCTCATTATTGAGACCTTTTAAAGTGGTGCGTTGGAGTTATGTAATACTTGAAAATTTTTTGAGTAAAGAGCGAAAAAAAGGAGAGACGTAATGCTATCCGTGATACCCAAATTGACATGACTGACAAACAAATGACCAGCCTGGCGGCGAGCGGTCGCACCGTCCCTGTCACACACTCAACGTCCGGTGTATCGCCGTCCTTGTCACACACACCCACATATGACGCACCTCTTATTCCTCGCGGCGCACGCGCGGAACTCCTGCCCCAGCGTGGCGACCAGCCTGGCGAGCGGTCGCGCCGTCTCTGTCACACACTCGGCGTCCGGTGTACCGCCGTCTTTGTCACACACACCCACATATGACGCACCTCTTATTCCTCGCGGCGCACGCGCGGAACTCCTGCCCCAGCGTGGCGACCAGCCTGGCGAGCGGTCGCGCCGTCTCTGTCACACACTCGGCGTCCGGTGTATCGCCGTCCTTGTCACACACACCCACATATGACGCACCTCTTATTCCTCGCGGCGCACGCGCGGAACTCCTGCCCCAGCGTGGCGACCAGCCTGGCGAGCGGTCGCGCCGTCTCTGTCACACACTCGGCGTCCGGTGTATCGCCGTCCTTGTCACACACACCCACATATGACGCACCTTTTATTCCTCGCGGCGCACGCGCGGAACTCCTGCCCCAGCGTGGCGACCAGCCTGGCGAGCGGTCGCACCGTCCCTGTCACACACTCAACGTCCGGTGTATCGCCGTCCTTGTCACACACACCCACATATGACGCACCTCTTATTCCTCGCGGCGCACGCGCGGAACTCCTGCCCCAGCGTGGCGACCAGCCTGGCGAGCGGTCGCGCCGTCTCTGTCACACACTCGACGTCCGGTGTATCGCCGTCCTTGTCACACACACCCACATATGACGCACCTCTTATTCCTCGCGGCGCACGCGCGGAACTCCTGCCCCAGCGTGGCGACCAGCCTGGCGAGCGGTCGCGCCGTCTCTGTCACACACTCGGCGTCCGGTGTATCGCCGTCCTTGTCACACACACCCACATATGACGCACCTCTTATTCCTCGCGGCGCACGCGCGGAACTCCTGCCCCAGCGTGGCGACCAGCCTGGCGAGCGGTCGCGCCGTCTCTGTCACACACTCGGCGTCCGGTGTATCGCCGTCCTCTTCGCACTCGACTTCAGCCTCTACGTCTACTTCGTCGATAATACGACGAGACACTGAGTCTATCACGTCCAGAAGTTCGTTCTGGATTTGCACTTTAAACTTCTGAAAATTTAGGTTACTGTCATTGCAAACCGAAAACAATACATCAAAAATAGATTTTGGTTCTCATTTAAGTAAAAAGGGACCGGGTAAATAATATTGCTATCATACTCTGTTCACGGAAGCGAGTTAGTGGAGCGCTTATTTTATAACAATCACTAACAAAAGACGAAAACGGAAAACTATGCGCACAAAACTGGGGATAATTATGGACCAGAGTAACGACCACTAGCGCCGTTACTCCGACTAATGTCACGATACAGGAAGTAGCCAGAAGAAAAGCTGCATACGCTTGCTATATCAAGATTTAAAATCTCAAATGTTTACCTCTGTAGCCTCTTTAAGTAACTCCAGCACGCCGAGTGCTTCCAGCGATATCATAACAGTAGTTTCAAAGGTCTTGTCCTCTTCAGAGAGAGAAGCCTCAAACTCCGGCGTGATATCTTGGAGGTGAGCATCCGTCACCTCTTCGTTTTTAGTCAGTTCTGTGTAAGAAGTTAAATATTTGTTATTTTGTTGAAAAGAGAATTAATTATACTGAAAAAAAAACAACCTAATTGACCAAGGTATCAGACTGGAAATGAACCGAGCGAATATATTATATCCGTCATAACAACACCACTGAAAACAAGTTTCGAAGTTCTTCAATATAAATGTAGAGAAAGCGCGCAGGGATAGCGTAATGTAGATATTTATTTATTGTAGGAAAAATCGTACCTATTAAAACACAAAAAAAAAACGAGCGAGCCTTACAGTTGTCGCGTATGATGTGTAACATTTGAAACCTCACCTTATATTAGTAAAAAAGAAATAAAACCTACTACAAAAGGAATGAGGAGCTCGATGGCGCAAGTGGTAAGCGCGATCAGCTGCGATCGTTGAAGTTAAGCAACTTTCGCAGTGGTCGGTCATTGGATAGGTGACCAAAAATTTACTATCTCGAGTTCCTCCGTGCTTCGGAAGGCACGTTAAGCCGTTGGTCCCGGCTGCATCTGCAGTCGTTAGAACCCACCAATCCGCACTGGGCTCGCGTGGTGGGTCATGGCCCAATCTCCCTATTCCATCCATAGAGAAGGCCTGTACCTCAGCAGTGGGGACATTAATAGGCTGTTGATGATGACAAAAGGAATAAGCCATTTGAACATTATGTTCTAAAACCAAAACAAATAGCGCGCGCTTTCGCGACATTCTGTTACACACTTCCGTCGTTTTTCACGAAATCACTCCCACAAATTGCAGGAATGCGAGAGGAAAGATGTTACACATCAAAAATATTTAAAGTAAGAAACAGTAAATCAATTGCAGTTTTCACATATAGAAAAATAATACAAAAAAAAAACGAGCGTGCCTTACAGTTGTCGCGTATGATGTGTAACATTTGAAACCTCACCTTATATTAGTAAAAAAGAAATAAAACCTACTACAAAAGGAATAAGCCATTTAAACATTATGTTCTAAAACCAAATAAAATAGCGCGCGCTTTCGCGACTTCCTGTTACACACTTCCGTCCTATTTCACGAAATCACTCCCACAAATTGCAGGAAAGCGAGAGGAAAGATGTTACCCACCAAGAAAACAAACGGTGAAACACTACAACACACAAAAACACACTACTACAAACAGCTCAATTTATTAAAAAATTTATTACAAAAATATCACTAGCACACACACCAAAAATGATTTACAGAAAAACTTGTCGCCTAATAATCGCTTTGCCGTCGCCTCACTAGTATCGAAAAGATCAATATCCATAATTTATAAGAAACTGCCCGTTTTATAAGAATATTGAAATTACTACTCATATATTAGGCAACAGCCTTTAAGACTCTTAGGCAGCGCACCCTGTTCATATCATAGGTACCTAACAACAATTTCTTCCAGACCTAGAAATTTTTTCCAGTAAATTATCCTTTAGACATTTATGAAAATAATTGTAGTTCGATGTTCCAATAAAAAATATTATATTCACTAATCTCACTTGAAGCTGTAATTTGGCTAAAGACTACGGCTAATTAACAAGTGTTTGTTTGACGACCTTCGTGTTAAATTGGTTACACCAGGTTTCAAGATATCTCTCACTCCGAGGTCCTTAGTTCGAGTCCCGGCATGTGAAAGTGTTTCTATGATGAATACGAGTATTTGTACCAGAGTCATGGTTGTTTATATATTTCTAAAAAAAAATACTTATCTTTGTATCAATTTACATTGAATCCATTCGCGTGGCAACTAGCATAGCTAGTCATAACGTGATCGTGTAAACAGTACCCTTAGTACGAACCGATATCTAATTCTAATAGTTGAATTGGGTGTTACGACATTGGTCAAATCTGATATTTGTCAAATCGACAAATTAGAAATTAGACAAATTGGTGATTCGTCAAATCCTCTTTTCGTCAAATTATGTAATTTTCCAAATCCGCCATTGGCCAAGTCCATGTACAGTTGCTGTAAGAAGTTTATGTAGGCAGAATCTGTATGTCGATTCTGCCATAATTCTCTTAACTTAACACTAAATTTAATATCAGTCTCTCCTTTTCATTCTGTATAGAGTATGACAAGGATACACTGTAGTCAAATTTAATTTTCAGGTTTAAGAAATGCCAGAACTGTCACAAATGCTGGCCAAATAGAAGCATTGACTCTGAAGCATATTTTGAACCCCAAAATTTTAAATTTGAATTTATCAAATTGAATTTTTTTTTTGCTCACTATAAACTATTGCTGAAGGATGATAAGCAATACAAGACAAAATGCCAGAAAATAATAGGAGGGTGGAATTTTTTAAGTATATTTTATTGAGCAATGGCAGAGAAGGATTTCACAGGATATGTAGTGTTGTACAACTGAACTCCGTCGTACAACCAACGCAGTAGAAGATTTCCACCGGATTAGTTAGATTAGTAAAGTAAAAGAAAAACATAATATTTTTGTACGATTTTTTTTAAATTAAGAAGAGTTAAAAGAGAAGTTTACAAGAAAAGGAACACAACCGATATAATAAAAGACACCAAAATAGAAAAAAAAATAGAGAAGTTACTGAGTGGTTAATTAGATCCATTTAATTATTAAAAACAGTTAGTTAAGTATAATAAAATAAGTTTATAATAAATTATACTTCATATCTCTCCCGAAGATGATTACATATTACATGCAGCAGCTCAGCAACATTTAAGAGTTACTTAATCTTTTTTGAATTAAAAAAAATAATACATCATATTCATTTTATCTATGGACTATGACAGCCCGCCATCTACCGGCACTCACTGTTCCTACTCATTTTACTCGTTTTGGTGTCGTCCAAACCACAGTATTTTTTATATAATTTCGAAAAAGTCTAGAAATGGGTAAAAGAAAGAGGAAATCGAGTAGAGATGATAGTGACTTAGTGGAAAAAATCGTTAAAAAGGTTAAAAAGTTGGTTAAAAAAGGTCGGCGAATAGAATCGTCCTCTTCGGAGGACGAACGAACGGAACATTTGTTATCAACCGATAATGAGGAGCATCAAATTAATGAGTGATCCAGAAAATGTTGGTGAGTTTTCTATCATTGATATAACATACAAAGTTAAATTCTATTGAAGCATTTTTTGCTTAGCAAAAATCAGCTAAAATCAGCTACCCACTTAAAAAAAAGTAAGCAGTCGGTCGGTAGTTGTATTACAATGGATATTTAAAAAAGGATATAAGTACTCTTACATAACACACCATGTTTTTTTCTCATATGGGAAGAATATATAAGTTTTTAATTAAATTATCTTTGTCTCGACGTTTTTACGTGTGTAGACACAATGGCGTTTTGCAAAAATTGCAATAAAATCCCGACGTATATCGTGTGTGGGTTGTTATATTGGTGTTTGCTTTATCACCTATTGTTTATCTCGACGGATTACCGTGTGTAGATAACACACAAAAATAAATAAAATTAAATAAAATGCTAATTCATTTTATCCCGACATTATCGTGTGTGGATAAAAAGTGTTTATTTCTCTTGAAATAGTGTTTCACACAACAATTTTATTTAATGTTGTGTTTTATGGCTTACAGACGGGATCCCAGTTAATGAGGCTCATTTTCAAACGGAGAATCCTGATAATAGTCTAGATTTAGAACCGGATATTTTAGAGCTGTTAGGTGCCGACCCGACACAAGATAAAAGCTTTGGCGATAACTTACATAAGGACTTAGCAGTAAGGTGGAAATACATATTGATTAACGGATTGCCAAAAGATGAAAAATCAGATTTGCTAAAACAGTACCTTCCCGCAGAAAATTGCATACATATGAAAGCACCGAAGCTGAATCCCGAAGTCAAATTGGCTCTTTCGGAAACTAATTTAAAAAAGGACTCTTATAGCGAGCAAAAGCAAAACCAAATGGCGAGTTGTATTGCCGCCATAGGTCGAGGTCTGAATTTAGCATTGGCTCAAAAGGAACAAATAATACCACAGGAAATAATAAAAACATTAGGTGACGCAGGCCGTTTACTATGCGATACTCATTACAGAGAATCTGTATCAAGGAGGTTTTCCATTATAAATTCCATCAGCAAACAAAAGCGAGATATAATAAAAAATACAAAAATCAATGAATATTTATTTGGTTCCGATTTACATGATCATCTAAAGTCATTGAAAGCCATATCTAAGTCCGCATTAGAGTTGAAGCCTACAGCAAGTCGTAGGTACTACCAATAGCCAATCGCTCAACCCAGCACATCTGGATTTCGTCGACCGGAGACTTTAAACGCCAGGGGGGCACCGCGAGTAGCGGCCGCCGAGCAGCGAGTGAACCCCCCACAACCTCGGCGCCAGTGGCCACCGCTGCCGCCGCCGCCGCGGGGCCGCCACCGCGGGGCCAACCAACCCAGGACCAGCCAGTACAGTCACCAGCATTGGAGACGTTAACCACGTCATCAGAGGTACAAAATACCGAACTTTTTACTGTCGCGGGTAGACTACAATTTTATTATGACGAATGGCTTAATATAACAAACGACAAAATAATTCTGTCGTGGATAAGGGGTTATAAAATACCGTTTCTTTCTGAACCCCATCAAACCGGAACACAAAAACTAAAGTCATATACCCCTGATGAAATGACAATAATCGACGATTGTATTGCTGAATTACTCGAGTCCGATTTTGTATCGCCTTGTACTCCATGTGAAAAGCAATTTATTTCCCCTATTTTCACTGTACCTAAATCTAACGGGAAGCATCGTTTCATTCTCAACTTCAAAGAATTAAATAAATTTATTCAGGTTACTCATTTTAAATTGGAAGATTATCGCACGGCATTAAAATTATTAGATAAAAATTATTATATGGCAACTATAGATTTAAAAGACGCATATTTTTTATTGCCTGTCGATAGAGATGACAGAGCATGGTTGCGTTTTTATTGGGATTCCAAAAGATACAAGAAACAGTTATTTGAATTTAATGTTCTCCCCTTTGGTCTTTGTACCGCGCCTTACGTGTACACCAATTTACTATATCCTGTGTTACACTACCTACGTTCACATGGATATCTATCTGTTGTCTATTTAGATGACTTTTTGTGTATGGGGGAATCATATAATAAATGTCTAAATAATATTTATAAAACTAGAGACATATTAATAAAGTTAGGCTTTATTATAAATTATGAGAAAAGTAAAATGAGTCCATCAAAGAAATGTAGGTTTTTAGGTTTTATATTTGATACAGTCAATATGACTTTATATATTCCCCAAGAAAAGAAAAACCGGATTAAAATATTAGCTAATAAATTTTTACATACAAAAAGATGTACTATTCGTGAACTGGCAATATTTTTAGGCGTGCTAACGTCAGCGTGTCCCGCTGTTAAATATGGCTGGGTTTATACCAAATTACTTGAGAGAGAAAAGTTTTTAGCTCTTAATTATTCTCTCAAATATAACAAATATATGTTGTTGCCTGAAAGTACAAAGGAAGATATCAGGTGGTGGATAAAAAATATTGAGTTCTCGTCATGTCCATTTCATATGTCTAATTATTCCTTAGTTATATTTCCCGACGCCTCAACCACCGGCTGGGGTGCGGCTTGTGGTAACCAGACCGCCAGCGGACACTGGAAGCACCCCCAACAATCTCTTCACATAAACACACTAGAATTGTTAGCTGCGTTTTACGGTCTCAAAATATTTGCTTCACAAGTGCAAAATTGTTACATCCTTTTAAGGATAGATAATACGACAGCCATCGCTTATATAAATAAAATGGGGGGAACACAGTACAAACATTTAAATAACATCGCCCGTGATATATGGCAATGGTGTGAAAAGCGAAACATTTATGTTTTCGCCTCATATATTTCGTCAAGTCAAAATGTTGTAGCGGATTTTGAATCTCGTCAAACAAATATAGATACTGAATGGGAATTAAATCATGATGCTTTTAAGAAAATAACCCTTAAATTGGGTACACCAGAATTTGACTTATTTGCTAGTATTCAAAATCATAAATGCCACAGATATGCATCGTGGAAATTAGATCCCAATTCTGAAATAGTTGACGCGTTCACATTCGGTTGGAATAATTTGAAATTCTATGCCTTCCCTCCATTCAGCTTAATAACTAAAGTATTACAAAAAATTAAAATAGACAAGGCCAAAGGCATCTTAGTAGTGCCATACTGGCCCACACAACCGTGGTACCCATTATGGTCAATGTTATTAATATCTGAAGTCATATATTTTAAGCCTCATCCAAATTTGTTATTTTCACCTTTCAGAGACAAACATCCCCTACATACGGATCTCAGCCTGATGGCAGGGAAATTATCCGGCAGTCGTTACTAAGGCGTGGTATACCCGAAGCCTCACTTGACATAGTAATGTCGTCCTTTTCTACAAACACACTTAATCAATATAATTCATCGCTAAATTCATGGTTACAATATTGCAATAACAACAAAATTGATTATCATAATCCAAGTATTATACAAATAATAGAATACTTAACAGTAATGTATAACTCTGGTTTTAGCTACAGTACGCTTAATACACATCGTTCGGCTTTATCTTTACTATCCCGTAATGACTTCAATGAAAGCGATTGTATTAAACGTTTTTTTAAGGGTATTTATCGCCTTCGTCCACCTGCTCCCAAATATAATTGTACGTGGGACCATAATTTGGTATTAAATTATTTATCTAGTTATTTTCCGAATAATTTAATTTCGCTAAAAGATCTTACAGTTAAAACTATAACTCTCCTCGCTTTAGCTTCTGCTCATAGAGTACAGACCATGAGCCTTATTAAAATTCAAAATATTTGCTTCGATATAGATAAAATTACTATAAAAATTGATGATTTCATAAAAACTTCGAGACCTGGATCTTACCAACCTTTAATAGTACTACCAATTATTAAAGAAGACTCGAAAGTCTGCCCAGCCTCAGCTTTGAAATCTTACGTAGATAGAACTAGTAGTTTACGAAATCAGGATTATCTTTTCATTAGTTATCAAAAACCCCACAGAAAAGTAACCCCACAAACATTATCACATTGGATAAAATTTGTACTAGAAAAGAGTGGTATAGATACAAGCATATACAGTGCTCACAGCACTCGACACGCGTCGACGTCTGCTGCGCACAGGGCAGGAGTCAATTTGGAAGTTATTAGAAAAGCTGCCGGCTGGACAGACGCTTCGAAAGTATTTTTAAAGTATTATAATAAGAATGTGTCGACTACAAATGACAATGATTTTGTTAACGCTATATTTCAATAGTAATTATTAATTCTTACATTAAGTTTGATGTTGATTATGAATAGAAAGTTTAAGAAAAGTTATAAGTATTAATTCTTTCTTATTTTTTCCCCCCTTTTCCATCACTTCAAAAAATTTTTCCGATGCTCTGAACATCTGCATGTAATATGTAATCATCTTCGGGAGAGATATGAAGTATAATTAAGAATCAAACGAACTTACCTTGTGAAGTTTGATATCTAATTATACGAATGTCTTGACCGAAGATGATTACACTCCCGCCCGTCCCATGGCCCCAGATCAATCGAAAAAATTTGCTCTAAATAAATGAGTAGGCCGGTAGATGGCGGGCTGTCATAGTCCATAGATAAAATGAATATGATGTATTATTTTTTTTAATTCAAAAAAGATTAAGTAACTCTTAAATGTGGTGAGGACAGCATCATCTCGTGAGCTGCTGCATGCAATATGTAATCATCTTCGGTCAAGACATTCGTATAATTAGATATCAAACTTCACAAGGTAAGTTCGTTTGATTCTTAAATATGGGTACTTCTTTTTTTTGCTTTTAACTGTACTTTAATTACTTTACCAATTGCGTATTTGGCAAATTATATAATTTGACGAATTACCAATTTGCCTACTTTCTAATTTGTCGATTAGACCAATGTCGTGACACCCGTTGAATTTGATCTCGATACACGTCAAATATTCTCACCGGACAGCAACAGCGCCGTACGCCGCCTGGCAGAGACTCGCCGCAGCAGCGGGCTGCGGTCACCGCGGTACACGGCCTCACTGATGCGACGCACTATCACCTCCACTAACTCCCTCTTTTTAGCCTACACCAATCAAAAATTCAAACGTTAAAGTTTTCGTTTGAAGCTCGATGGCGCAAGTGCTTAGCGCGTTCGGCTGCGATCGTTGAACTTAAGCAACTTTCGTAGTGGTCGGTCATTGGATGGGTGACCAAAAATTACTATCTCGAGCTCCTCCGTGCTTCGGAAGGCACGTTAAGCCGTTGGTCCCGGCTGCATCTGCAGTCGTTAGCACCCACCAATCCGCACTGGGCCCGCGTGGTGGGTCATGGCCCAATCTCTCTATTCCATCTATAGGGAAGGCCTGTGCCCCAGCAGTGGGGACATTAATAATAGCCTGATGATAATAATAATAAAAAAAAAAGTTTTCCGATGTATTTAAGTGAATTATCATGCAGCGTGAGAACACGTAGCTTGCATGTCATTCGCATCAATCAACAAATTCAAACCATTATGCATGCATGAGACAGCATGTAAAGCGTGTCATGTTGCAGGCTCCTAAAGCTAAGACATTTAAGATCATAGCACACAATCAACTTGGAATCTTCACCGTATCAACTCGAGCCGTTCAGTATTCTTTGTATGAAATTCCCTACTGCAGCGCATACTAATCGAAAACGTAATGCAACGTAACGCCCCTCCTCAGGACAAGCTCTCAAATCGCGGCGCGGTTCGTGGTCAACTTACGTACGGATCAAACTGATTGAACTGGTGCCGTCTAGCCGTCAACCAGCGGTTGGCGAGCCGTAAGCGCGGCGTCGCCTAGCCGTAGCCGATCCAAACGTTCTGGAGTGCTTATCCGCTTACGTTACATGCTTATGTTAGGTGGAAGCCTGTTTGACGGCAAGCTAAAAAGCGAGTCGATCGATCCGATACCAAATATTAATAGTCATGACCTTTAGAGCATCGAATTACGACACGTATTCATATAATTAGAAGTATTTGTTTCTTAGGTTTTCACGCACATCACTCATTAAATAAAACTAGTTTTTACAGGTTAATGCACGAAACTTTATTTATTTATTGACGTTTCTTTATATAATTAGAATCTTTTTTTATATAATTAGAATTTTCATATAGTTGCACTGGCCTACAGCTAAATGCTTACTGTGAACACTATTGGATTTTTTTACCCCCCCTCATTACGGCGGCTAATATCATCAATTACACGAGCTGATATCATCTAAATCTGCCTGTTAACGTCAACTTTTCATTGCAGGGGCAAAGGCCTTCTCTATGAATGGAATCGGGAGACCAGGCTATGACTTAACATCACACGAGTGCAGTGCAGTATGGCGAGTGCTAACTACAGATGCAGCCGGGACCGACGGCTTACCGTGCCTTACGAAACATGGCGGAGTTCTTTTTAATGAATCAGTTTAGATACCTTATCATTAAGCTACTCACATCAAGATGTTGCCTAGTGGAATGTAACGCGTCCACATGCGACAGGCTTGTATCAGCAGTATCGAGCGCAGTGCGCAACGTATACGCAGCGGCCAGTACGCGTCCGGCAGATATCAGTTCCCGAGTCTCACGCTCCGACACTACTACGCGTTCGCTGAAAATGTTTCTCTTGTTATTTTGACATTAAAAATTTGATCCGTTTTTAAATCACATGACAGATATGAATGCACTATGTAACATATTTGGCCACTAAACATAACAGATAACAACTCTTGCCAGCTGCTGCTTGCATGTATGTGGTCAGTAAAGCAATTTTAATTGATCTGGAAGAAGGTAATGCTCACATATCCAAGCATGTTTAAGAAAAAAATATTTCTCAACATAATATTGAAAATATAATGGCTTTTAGGCAACAGTTATACTAGGTAGGGCAGAGGTACTTTTCTGCTAATAAAGTACCCATATGGGAAGTAACTATAGCACCAATATGGTGAAGTAAACACCACCTTGCAAGGTTGTAACCTAAAATCACTAATCTGTTATGACGAGTTTTCTTTCTGCAGTTAATTAGGTTACCAGGGGGCCATTCGCCTAACGGGATTGCTTTGGAAAACACTATCGCTTACGATTTAATTTTTTTATTTCTGACCACCGAAGGTTTTCAAATACCTCACGCTCATTTTCTTTACTATTGTTATTAACAATGCAAAAGAAAAAATAGAGCGCGTGGCATTTGAAAACTTCAGGTGACTAGAAATAACAAAATGAAATTGTAAGCGATAGCGTTTTCCAAAGCAATCTGGTTAGGCGATTGGCCCCCAGAGCTCTATAATATGTTATAGCTCTTACATATCAGTCAACATCTGTAGTGCATAATGGTGGGTGCGAGCATCAGCCCAGAGCCTCTTCAAGTCATCCCTCCGCAGCTGCAACAGTCCTCGGCATGCTGCCAAACGAGCCACTGCAGCATCGCAGTGTTGACCCCAAACTGTCATTGCAGTGCTCACACTGCTGAATTTCTAAACAGGCAAGAGTTTATACTGAAATACATAAATTATTGATAATATATATATTTCAGGGAAGTATTAAGTAACAACAGAATAATAGTGCTCATGCAGTTTAAAATTAAATGTTTTCAAAATCATTTTATCACATAATTTTTTAGATTAAAAATATTTTCTTTTATTTAAAAAAAATTGCTGTTACAGTCACGCATAAATACAATGCCACCTTGTATTAGCTTCCAACTTAAAATATGACTGCTGCCTTATTTTAGATACTTATGTTTTATAAGAGTTTATTTGCCTGCTTCCTATTGTATTTTAAGAACAAAATTTTGTTGTGTTATTAATATCAATTTCAATATTGATGATGGCACTACTTTCAGCAATAATTTAATAAGTATGTTATTTAAGAACATAAGATAAGCCCTTAGTTTACAAAACATATATCTGTCTTAACACTTCTGTTATTAAAATTGTAAAAAGATACAACAAATGTTATAACATAAAGAACAACTATAGCATGGCACTTTTACCAGGAAGCCGACAGGCCTAAATTCATTTTTAAAGCTGCGGCTATCAATTTAGTAAGTACCTGCATAACTTCCATGATTTCTTGTGCATGTGCAGCCACCAACTCATCTAGCCTCGCGTCACTCTTTTTGTATTCCTTTTCTAGCTTTGCCCTCTCCTTTTCTCGTTGCTCATTTGTTTCACTTGCTGATAATGTGCGTATCACGGACATGAGAAGTCCACTCTATAATATATAATTTTAATGTAAATAATTTTACAACAGCCAGTGCAGTGTGATGATAGTATTTGATTATGGACCAAGAAAAGTACCTCAAGAAATCTCTTGAGGCACCTTTAATTTATATAATAGTTAGATGGATAGATTTATTCTGTGATAAAAATAATAGAAAGATATTCTTATTTTTAATTTAAATCTAATTTTGAGATGACAACTTACAGTTTCTTTGCCTTGTTTAACCCCTCTTGGGGGCTTTGTAGGAGGAGGAGAAGACATTTTTCTTTCCGTTGAAGTTTAATTTATATAAACATAAAGAGAAACGCCCCTAAATTTAAATAAAATTACTTAAATTTTATGTGTTTTCTGTTTAGCACTTATTGGGTACCTGTCACTGTCACTTTTATTTTCACATTTTTTTTTATATGGCAATCCTCTTCTTTTGATTAGGAATATAAGTTGACACCGTTGTCGATTCTCGCATGATTCTCAGACTGAAAATTTTTTTAAGGTATCTTTTTGATGTGTAACATTTTTCCTCTCGCTTTCCTGCAATTTGTGGGAGTGATTTCGTGAAATGGGACGGAAGTGTGTAACAGGAATAAAACTAGTTTTTACGGGTTAATGCACGAAACTTTATTTATTTATTGACGTTTCGCAGCCTTTTCAGGTCTGCCATCAGGTCTTTTATATTTAAATCAAATATTTCTTAGCTATAATATATCAAACATTGCCTTTTTCTAAATGTTTCAGATAAATGGGGGCGTCCATAAATTAAGTGAGGTGTTTTTCGAATTTTCCCGCCCCTCCCTCCCCCCCTGGTGAGATGTGGGATTTTATTCAACTCCCCCCCCCAACCCCAATCTCACGCGAGATTTTTTAAAATGTGGGTTTCTTAAGTAAACGCTTTGGATTGTTATAGTAAAAAGAGAAAAAAAATTGCTTCGTGCTTTTATTTACGACTAGTTAAGACTAATAATCAATATTGCTGAGAGTTATAAGAGTAATAAAATTTTAGCTATCGTAACTACTGTGATTCAAGAAAGTATATTTACTACAATTCAGCCCATGGAGAATCATGCGTGATTTCAAGAGAAATGAAATGAAATGAAATGAAATGAAATGAAATGAAATGAAATGAAATGAAATGAAATGAAATGAAATGAAATGAAATGAAATGAAATGAAATGAAATGAAATGAAATGAAATGAAATGAAATGAAATGAAATGAAATGAAATGAAATGAAATGAAATGAAATGAAATGAAATGAAATGAAATGAAATGAAATGAAATGAAATGAAATGAAATGAAATGAAATGAAATGAAATGAAATGAAATGAAATGAAATGAAATGAAATGAAATGAAATGAAATGAAATGAAATGAAATGAAATGAAATGAAATGAAATGAAATGAAATGAAATGAAATGAAATGAAATGAAATGAAATGAAATGAAATGAAATGAAATGAAATGAAATGAAATGAAATGAAATGAAATGAAATGAAATGAAATGAAATGAAATGAAATGAAATGAAATGAAATGAAATGAAATGAAATGAAATGAAATGAAATGAAATGAAATGAAATGAAATGAAATGAAATGAAATGAAATGAAATGAAATGAAATGAAATGAAATGAAATGAAATGAAATGAAATGAAATGAAATGAAATGAAATGAAATGAAATGAAATGAAATGAAATGAAATGAAATGAAATGAAATGAAATGAAATGAAATGAAATGAAATGAAATGAAATGAAATGAAATGAAATGAAATGAAATGAAATGAAATGAAATGAAATGAAATGAAATGAAATGAAATGAAATGAAATGAAATGAAATGAAATGAAATGAAATGAAATGAAATGAAATGAAATGAAATGAAATGAAATGAAATGAAATGAAATGAAATGAAATGAAATGAAATGAAATGAAATGAAATGAAATGAAATGAAATGAAATGAAATGAAATGAAATGAAATGAAATGAAATGAAATGAAATGAAATGAAATGAAATGAAATGAAATGAAATGAAATGAAATGAAATGAAATGAAATGAAATGAAATGAAATGAAATGAAATGAAATGAAATGAAATGAAATGAAATGAAATGAAATGAAATGAAATGAAATGAAATGAAATGAAATGAAATGAAATGAAATGAAATGAAATGAAATGAAATGAAATGAAATGAAATGAAATGAAATGAAATGAAATGAAATGAAATGAAATGAAATGAAATGAAATGAAATGAAATGAAATGAAATGAAATGAAATGAAATGAAATGAAATGAAATGAAAAGTCATTTATTCAGTCTAGGCTGTTACAAGCACTTGTGAAAGTCAAGAAGCTACGCCATCGGTTCGCAAAACTACGGCGGGAGACCTTGTACTGAGAAGAACCGGCAAGAAACTCAGCAAGGGCTGCTTTTTTCTCCCTGTATTAATATATACAGAGTCGTCAAGTTGAAAAATGACTTCAGACATACTTCTGAAGTCACCTTCCATTACATTATTTAGGGTATAGATATATAGTTACAACAAAATTTATATTTAGTATATATAGGAAGCGGCATTAGATAGGTACCATACTACTGTTAAACTGACTCATACCCATCAAATAAGAAATTACAAGAAACACTATGTCCATGCATTACGATCATTTAGATAATCATTAACTTTATAATAGCCCTTATTCATAAGAGTATTCTTAATCTGAGATTTAAATTTGGTTAGTGGAAGCTCAATCAGATCTTGGGGAACTTTGTTAAACAATGCAATACTACATCCCAGAAATGAACCTCTAGATTTTTGGAGTCTGAAACATGGACCGGCAAGCTTGTTCTTAAATCTCGTGTTTAAGTTATGGGTTTGACTTTTTTTTGCAAATGCGTCATAGTTTCTTCTTACATATATTATATTTTCATAGATGTATTGCGATGCCAGTGTTAAAATATTAATTTCTTTAAATTTTTCTCTAAGAGATTCTCTTGCCTTTAAATTATATATGGCGCGAACAGCTCTCTTTTGCAGTACGAAAATACTTTCTATATTAGCAGCTGAGCCCCACAACAAAAGGCCATATGACATAACGCTATGAAAGTAACCAAAGTAAACCATTCTTGCCGTTTCCACATCAGTTAGGAGTCTTATTTTTTTAACAGCGAAGGCCGCAGAGCTCAGTCTACTTGATAAGGCATCAATATGAGGATCCCATTGCAGATGCGAGTCTAAAGTAATACCCAGAAACTTTGTAGAATCCACTAACTCTACAGGCTGGTCATTTATTTTTAAACAAGTATTAACCTGCCTCACATTAGGTAAAGTAAACTTAACACATTTTGTTTTGCTAGAGTTTAGTTTTAAATTATTTACCGTAAACCAGTGAAGGACTTCAGAGAGAGCACAATTTACTTCGTCATAACAATCATTTCCTCTCCTAGCTTTAAACACTAAAGAGGTGTCATCAGCAAATAGTACTATCTCACACAAATCTCTTGTAAAGTGAGGAAGGTCATTAATATAAATAAGGAAAAGCAATGGGCCCAATATTGAACCCTGGGGCACGCCCATAGAAATGGGTGCTCCTGTAGACTCAGCTTCATTTATAACTACTTTCTGAATCCTAGCAGAAAGATAAGACTGTATCAGACTTAGTGAAATATTTGATACACCATAATGCTTCATTTTATTTAACAATGTTTCATGGCTAACGCAGTCAAACGCCTTAGATAAATCGCAAAAAATGCCAATAGCATCGTGCTTACTCTCCCATATATCAAAGATGTGTTTGAGAAGTGCAGTTCCAGCATCAGTAGTACTTTTGCCTCTAGTGAAACCAAACTGTTTTAAATGAAGTAGCTTATTTATAGAAAAGTGTGCTAGTAATCTACTATATAAAAATAAGTCGGGTTTTCCTTCCTGACGCTATAACTCCAGAACGCACGAACCGATTTCCACGGTTTTGCATTCGTTGGTAAGGTCTCGGGCTCCGTGAGGTTTATAGTAAAGAAAATTCAGGAAAAATTTCAAAAAAAAAAATCTTCTTTTAATCACCAAACGAAATGTTACATAAAACGAAGCCATCTGATGGCGAAACGGAGTTCGCCTGGTTTGCTAGTTGGTTATAAATTATTTTCTCAAATACTTTACTTAGCGCTGGTAATACAGATATAGGCCTAAAATTGCTGGGATCTGATTTATCACCAGCCTTAAAAAGAGGGATAACTTTAGCACATTTCATTAGATCTGGAAACACTCCCTCATCAATACATTTGTTAAATATAATGGCCAGTTGTGGCGCAATGACAGTGATAATCGGTTTTATTATATATGTTGATATTCACTACTGATATGTCTAAAATAAAAATCATTACTGCACTTATCAACACTTGACTCAAGGAGGGTCATTGCTAACCTAGAACAAGAATTAAGATTTCTAGTTGATTCAAACGGTGCACTAGAAAAGAAATTTTCAAAAGTGTTGGCAACGGCATCATCTGTCCGAATAATCTTGTTGTCTATTTTTAAAGAATATGTGCGTTCATTGAATTTATTTCTTTCAGTTTCATTATTAATTATATTCCAAGTTGTCTTTATTTTATTATCTGATAGACTAATTTTTTTTGATAAAAATTTAGCTTTCGCTATGGCACACACCTTTTTAAAAGTTTTTGAATAGTTTTTGACATATTCTATAAACTTAGGATCAGATGAGGTTGCTTTGAGAGCATATAATTGATACAACTTACTTCTACTTTTGTAAATACCAGGTGTGGCCCAATCACTAAAATTCTTTTTAGAGCTATGGCATTTAATTACTTTGCGTTTGAATATTTTATTAAATTCATCTTTAATTAAATTAAATAAATCTTCATATAAAATATTATTATTATTACAAACTGGTAAGTCCGACATTTTATGATAAACACTATCTTTAAATTTATTTATACCCGTTTGTATAATTGGTCTATAAGTTAGGTCATGTTTTTGTGAAGCCTGATGGTGTTCAAGAGAGGCTAATTGTCCACTATGATCAGAATTAATACAATTTATTATTGATTTATGAAAAACTTTCCTATTACAAAAAATATTATCCAAACAGGTTGCTGATGCATGTGTGATGCGACTATTGGAACCAACATGTCCCTTTGATTTTCAGTAAAATAATCTGCTCCTTCGACTTCGTTCTGATCTAGCCACTTTAAGCCGTTGGCACTTGCGCACAGTTACTCATTAGCTCGTCTTGTGACAATCCGCGAGGGTCGCACTTTGCGG